TTGTAATGTCTCTCTTTGAGAGTCATTCTGATTCACCCCAAATTTACCCACCACAAAAATATTTCCTTTGACACAAACGGCACTTGCATAGTATCTTGGAGCAATGTCATTTGCAATCGCTGTCCAAACGTTTGTCTCTTTGTCATAAACTTCACAAGGACATCCACCAGACAGATCAACACCCCCAAAAACAAAAATTTTGTTACGTAAACTAACACCAGCAGCCCCTCTTCTTTTTGCTTGAGTTGGTGCAATTCTCTTCCAGGAGTCAAATTTAGGATCAAACCTTTCAACAATATCCAGGCACTTTTCAGATGGAGAAGATGTATACCCTCCAATGGCATATAAGTAGCTTTCATCAGCTACCACACAGACACTGGATCTAGTGTTACTCAGGGGTGAAACTTCTTGCCACAAGTTTGTACTGGGATCATATTGCTTTACAGTTCTTAACCTATTTCCAGAGTTATCCTCTCCACCAATGACATACACTAACCCCTGGAATGACACAGCTGCGGTAAAATTTAGTCCCTCTGGGAAGGATTTGACAAAAATTGATGACCATATTTTCAGAAATGGATCATAGCATGCAACTTTCTGCTCTCCCCATAATCTATCTCCACCAATGACATAAAGTCTACCTTGGCAAGTTGTTGAGGCAAAAGTGTTACGTTTCCGTGTGTCTGGCATGTCTTCTAAGTTGTGCCACCTGTTTTGAAACGGTAAATAACACAGTACTTTGTCACCACTTTCACCCCCACAGACAAATACAGCATCTTCAGGGGTGTTCAAACACTTTCTCGGTGAATGCTTCCAAACTTGTGCTCCTGTTTCATCTGACAGCTCTTTCATAGCATCTACAACCAAATCCAAACATTCTTTTTGGCCTCTTACAAATTCATGTTGCAAAATAACTGTAGTAAGGAAACTGCGTGATATGTAATGACAACGAACGTGACGAAACAGGTTATAAAAGCTTTGTTTTCTTTCAATATTATGTTCAGTCCAAATCAGAATAGCCATGAAAACTTCCTTCTCGCCTTTTATAATAATTTCATCACTTGAAATCCATTCTTCGACTTGCTCCAAATTCAAATTAAGAAAGACATTGGATTTTGACACGGCCATGAAGTTGGCAAGAATGAAGCTTTTGGCTGCCTCTCGTAAATCAGAACATTGATACTTAACGCTGGAATAATAAGCCATGATAGAGTTTGAAGCGCACAAAGTATCTTGAATGAACTTACTGGAGAGTAATTTCAAGCTTGTTATAAGAAAGTAATCTGCTACAGCCATCAATTCGAATGCGTTGTTGTCATTGATATCAACTTGTCCTGTGTAAAAATACTCCAACACTTGTTCCATCAAAACTTTGCTTGTATCTTTCATTCGAATGACTCCTTCTTCCTTTTCTTTCATTTCCGTGTTGAGGGCGTTGTAAAAGAACGGGCTGGCGGCACATAACACGTTTCTGTGAGCTTTCAATCGAGCTTGATCTTCACCAACTTCTAGAATCACATCACACAAATGCTCGTTTCTTCGCTGGATATCGAGGCGTTTCATTATTTGCACGCAAAACTGTTGCGAGTCAACCTCCGTGACTGGTTCAAGGAGGAACTCCATTGTTTAAATTCAATGATCTTCAATGTGACAGATGTGAGTGTGTTGTCCACTAAATCAGTCAACAAATGGACTTCAGTTTACAGTAAGTTTACCGTCCTTGTCTCCAGATCTCCTTTTTCTCGCCAGTTCTGGATCAAAAGTATTATCTGTTCGCAAAGAAAATACTTATCAATATCAAGGGCTGGTGTAGGAAGGACCTCTAAACTTTCTCTAAACTTGCGGTGCATGAATTACCCCGGATGAGTTGTCGTGGAAACAACAACCCATCCCAGAAATCCCAGAAGAAATAGCCTGCAGTGCAGGCGTTTTCTTTGAGCGCGAAATTTGCTCGCGAAAGTGCCATGTTGAAACTACCGTAAATCAAAGATGGCGGCTACAACAATATTACGAACACGAACAAGGTTTCGCCCACCCAAAATACGCCTGCATTTGCAGGCTACAGAAGAAAGCAACCTCGTACCCAGGGTTCTCTCCTACCCTCCCTACGGAGTTTTGCCTACGGAGCGAGGTAGGGCGGGTAGGAGAGAACCTTGGAAACGAGGTTGTCCCAGAAGTTTCCCAGTGCACCCAGCTGCAAAATTTGCGATTTTTCGTTTGTTTGCGAACGAAAAATCGCAAAAATCGATATCACAAGGTTGGAGATTTTTCGAAAATAGACCAATTCCCATATATTTGGTTGCAAGGCTTGGGGGAATAAAACAAAAGGCTCAGCAACGAATAATACATTTCTTTTGTTTTATTCCCCCTAGCCTCGGAGCCAAGCTTGAATTTTAATTTCTCGAAAATGTCCTATTGCGAAAAATCGCAAGTCTGAGATTTTTTCCTTTTTTACGAATTTTAGCGCTACTATGCGAAAATTGTGAAAATGACAAGTCTGGCGATTTTTTGCCTTACTTTCGATTTTTCGCAGTTCTTTGTCATGTTATTGATAACTAACCGGCGAGTTTAAAATACATGTTGACGATTCTACTGATGTCGGCGCTAGATACTTCCTGGACCTACTTGAGTCTACTTTTCTCTTTGCTGTTTTGTTATTTAGGGACTGTGCAATAACTACCTGGAGCGAAGGGGGGCTGGAAAATGGGTGAAATATGCCCCAAAATTAAAACTGAATCATGCCCCTCCCTTCATTAAGCAAAAATTAATTATAATGATACAGGAGCCGGCTCCTGAATGATAATATTAAGGCTAACCCAAGGTCAATGAGATCATTAGGTCACCACCGTATGTTGATCGTTACTTTTCTGATCATGGATCTGTTGTTTGTAGTATTTTGGCAAAAGTAACCGCAACCAGAGTCAGAACGGTTACTTACAGAAAAGTAAGATCTGTTAAGTTGGACAGTCTCAAGAATAGCCTTACATCCTTTGGTCTATGCAGCATTAACTGTGAGGAGCTACTTGTACCTAGAGATCCTGAGAAGCTTGTTATCAAATACAATTCTACCCTGTCCAGCGTAATTGACCAGCATGAGCCGCTGAAGACTAAAAACTGTGAAAACTAGACCACAAGTTCCCTGGTACAGTGAGGAAATTGCATTGGCTAAGAGACGACGTCCAAAAGCTGAGAAAAACAAAGTCGCCTGCTGATCTGTTAGTGTTCAACAAAATGAAAAACCATGCTACCTTTATAATGAACAGGGCACGAAAAGAATACTACGCAGATTTTATTAATGAAAATAGTACTGATCAAGGGAGGCTGTTCAGAGCGACAGAGAAGCTCTTAGCCCCAATTGATGACCTTTGTTTTTCTGAATATAATAACAACAGTTTGCTTGATAATGACGTCGGCAGATTCTTTTTCCTGAAGACTGACAAAATCCGCAAAGATCATGATGCCACTGATATCGAACCAAATGAACTTAACAGATTACTACCAGTAGATCCTGCAGTTAGAACAAATTACACGGCTTCCGCCTACTATGCCAAGAAGATGTCCTTCAGCTCGTACAAAGGTCGGCTAAGAAAACGTGCCCACTCGACCCCATGCCTACATCGATGGTTGTGAACTGTCAAGATGAGCTTGTATCCGTCATCACCTGTATGATTAACTCGTCTTTGTCTTCAGGTTATTTTCCATCTGGATGGAAGAATGCACTTGTTTTACCATTCCGCAAGAAACCTGGCCATTACAACTCGTTGCAGAATTTAAGACCTGTCAGCAATCTTCAGCTCGTTTGAAAACTGACTGAACGTACTGCCCTTAATCAAATTCACAGTCACATGGAAGACATGGAACAGTTCTCGTTATATCCTTTATTGCAATCTGCAATATGGACCAAAAGTGAGTTACATTGTTGGTTCTACTGTGAAAGGTTTGAACACAGGAGTCATTTCAAAAGGTTGAGTTTGATCGTCCGGGTGAACGTAGTCCTGAATAGGACTGTTGTTGTTGACAGTGACTGACGTTTCGACAACCTGTGCGGTAGTCATCTTCAGAGTCAAAGTGAGTTGTATCACGTCAGTTGATGGTATTATACTCGGGTTATTGATCTGATTGGTCAATTATGTCGCGATGTTATTGGTCGTCTGTCATTTAAGCCGTGATGTTATTGGCTATGAAGACTCGTAATCAGTGATTGGTGCGTTTCGTCTATTGTCGCAGTTAAACAGTCGTCTATTGTTAGTCAAATTGTTAGTTCTCCAGTTGTTCTCTCGTAGTTAGTTTTGCTTGATCTCGTCAATAAGTCGTTTGTACGGCGCTGGTAACTGTTGACTACGATTCAGTGGCGTTTGTTCTAAGTTAGTAAACCAGCTTTCTAAAGTAAGACGTTGATAGTAGTCTTTAGAATACGTTATACATGTCGCAGAGTCCCAGTCAATTTGATGTTTCGTCTTTAAATGGTGCTCAGCAATCTGATTGTTGACGTCACCATTCCTCGTCGCGCGTTTGTGTTCGGTCAGTCGCGTGCTTAGGTTTCTGCCGGTTTCACCAGTGTAAGAAGCCTGGCAGTCGCAGCATTTGATCTTGTATACTGCTCCCTGTCTGTCCTCCGGTTTGTCTTTGTCCTTGACATTAGTAAGCAGTCGCCGTAAAGTGGTTCTGCTTGATTTAAGCGCCGCATTTGATACGGTTGAACATGAAGTGTATGGAGTCTAGTTTCGGGGTATCTGGCACTGCTCTGCAATGGTTAGGATCCTGCCTTGAAGGCAGATCCCAACGTATATTCATTAATGACAGTTACTCAGATAGCTTCGACGTGCATTATGGTGTCCCACAAGGTTCTTGCCTCTGACCTCTGCTCTTTACAGTGTACGCCGGCAAGCTTTTTGAAGTGATTGAAACCAATCTTCCGGACATACTTGCTTATGCAGATGATACACAGTTATATCTGTCATTTAACCCTGACTGGATGCTATTTATGATGTTCAGAATTGTATTAAGGAGATTAGAACTTGGATAACGGTAGATAAGTTGAAACTTAATGAGGACAAGACGGAATTCATTGTGATTGGTACACGTGCTCAACTGAACAACTTAAAGATAAGCCAGTTTACAATCCGCAATGCAAGTGTTCCAACTTTGACTTCTGTCAGAAACCTTGGATCTTGGTTTGATAGCCACCACAGTATGACAACGCACATTAACGAATCCTGTCAATCCGTGCTGTGCCATTTGCATAATATCAGACGTATTAGAAAGTTCTTTTATTATTAAAATCGCAAAAATCGCAGTTTTTGTAAGATCCCTTTCTACCTGCTTCAACACTTGAATTCAATTTTCGCGATTTCTCCAATTCTTCACAAATTTTGCTGATGTGTGCAAACTTAGGCATTCTCGCAAATATGGCATGATTGCACTAAGGAATAAAGCGGTAGCCCATACTAATCTTCCATCGACCATCGTTCGACAATGCAAAAGGCTGTCTCTGTCAGGAAAGATGGTTGAGATCCAGAAATTTGCTAGCATGGTAACGCGGTTACGTCCCACTTCTCCTCTCTTATTCGTCCCTCAGTCGTGGACAGACTGTTTTAAAATGCCGAGTTCTATACTGTACTGTGGTGAGTCGCCTGAGAGAGAATATTCGGCGCAATCGACCTGAATTGGTGCAGGGATCGAAAGAAACTTGCATTCATACAAGCTTGTCCTTTGGGCAAGAAGCTCTCGCATTTTGTTGCCCGTGGACCCTTTTTTTCTGGACAAGTAAACTTTTAGTTAAAAGTTACTAGCCTAGCAATAAAATATTCTTGTCCCAGACTACCGTTGGGACGCTGGTAATATGTTGCTTCAACAAGTTAACGCTCTTGCTCAAAGTGTGACTTGAAATCGCGGGAGTTTTCGAGCCGCACCCCACCTACTCCTCGCTGGAATTGGCTCCTTGCGGCTTCTTTGTCTTCTACAAGATATATTTTCGTCTGAAGGGTCGGACGTTTTGGCTAATTAAAGAGTTGGAGGAATTTGAGGGGACGCTCTAAGCCGCAGAAGCGCTGAGAGAAGCGAATTGCTGCTCATTGGACAACTGTGAACGGAATGGTGCACAAATTTTCACAAAGGACATATAAACAAGCCCTTAAAGGAAGAAGTTCCGTAACTTTTTGACCGCACTGTTCAGTAACAGCCGATTAGTTGATTTTATTATTTCACTACCTTGCAGATAAATACGAAGAGAGAGAAAAAAGAGATATGTTGCAAAGTTGAGGTCTAATTTTTGAACCTCTGCCACGAAACAGAAAGATAGCAAATAGAGAGCAATGAGCTAGACACCTTCAAACGAAGACCCCTGCTGTATATCAGTTTTTTCTTCAAAGCGTTAAGCTTCATTTGAACTATTTACGAAGCAGATTGTCTCAGCATTGGAATGTTTGTTTCCGCGATAAACGGAAAAACGCCCTTTCGCATAATAGACCTTTCTCGCTTGTATGCTTTGTTTTCCCAAGTCAGGTCATATGATATTTCGTCTTATTCACCTGCACATGAACGCATGATTTATAAAAAGACACAAGGTTACGTTTCCCTGGGACCTCTAATGAAAAGCAAAACACAGAAGCTAAAGAGGTCTATTAGGGCCTGTTTACATGGAGGTGGGGGACCCCAGGTAGGTGAGGTAACCCGCTTAGGTGTGGTAACCCGCCAGTCCATACAATCTCTCATTTTACTTTGATCACGTTTACATGATAGGTGGGGTCACCCACCACATGTTACCTCACCTACCTGGGGTCCCCCACCTTCATGTAAACAGGCCCTTAAACGAGCTACGCTCGACGATCTGAAGACATTGATGGCATCGGCGATTGCTCATCAAAAAAAAATTAAATAAATAAATAATAACCGACACAACAAACACATAATGACTATATACAAATTTTATTGAAGGTCTTGAAGGATAATTTAGTCTTTAAGAATCTGCCTCAAGCATAAGTTAAAGTAGCCTTCTTCTCAAAACGAGAAAAGGAGAAACCAAAGCTCCTGGAAGAGACCTGAAGGGTGGTGCTGGCAAGGAAATATGCGCAGCCGCAGAATATGCGGAATGACGGTTACCGCGATTTCCCTCTTACACCGACACGCAAGGCAAACGTGACGCGCTGTTCAATTTTCGTAAATGACCGTTATCAAGTGCAAACGATCGTATGTGTTTAGGTCTATAGGGAAGGTTAATTGATCGCCTAGTATAAAAGAGACGCAAACTAGAGAGGAGTTCAGTTCGACGCCCTCTCCAGCCCTTCAGAGTTCCCTGCAAAAGAGGCTATACATGAACTTGGTATGCTTGAGCCTGTCGTAAGGTATTAAGACTTCGGAGCTGAAGAAGGTAATTGCCGAAGTCAATAATCGATAATTACTCGGGAAACTAGTACGAAAATCGCTCGTAGCTTGAAGGAACCAAATATAGGAACAAAATGCAGTTGGAAACTTCTTTCAAAATGGCATTCATTTCTTTGTTCTGGATTTAAGCTGCATTTCAATCCTAGCTTTTTTTCATAGTTTTCCCACTTACAGTCTTGTCAAAGACCAAATAAATAATTACATATACATCAAAACACTTACCACAAAGAACTTTTAAAATAAAAATCTGATGCATTAGATAGTTTTCTTGGTATAAAAGGAATACGCCATCAACTCTATTGTACAATGTACTGAAAACATATTACTTTAAGGTCTTTCTGCGCAGTTGTGAATTATATGTATTTCTTTGTATTAGCTCTAATCTACACTGATACCTGACCATCGCAAAACATTCCCGAAACTCAACCACAGAAGCATTCGCTTGCACTCAGAAAAAGTTGGCAAAGATAGGTGGAAAGCGTAGAACGGATATATAACTTAAGAAAAATGTACTGAGTAGTAAAACGAAGAACACAAACGAGAGGGGCATGGTTCAGTATGAGTGCAAAACACTTTCAATCTAGTAACGTGGTTGAAAACAGCCGTGAACGGCCTCTTTTATCGAAGATTTAAGAACACTGTTCGGTTCCTAGAAGGCCGATTTATAGCACTATTCTGAATTAAAATTCTAATCCACGATTTTTTCTCTTCCTTTCGATTATTCAGGATTATTTTGTGTAGTCATATCTGGATTTCGGAGATAGGATTGGCCTGTGTTTTGTAAGGTCCAGATACATGTTCCAAGTAAAGAAACTTTGCTTAAAATTTGGCTTAACCTGGGTAAACTTTTTCCACCTTTCGGGACAAGGTAAGATAAAATTTGCGATGTAACCAACGCCCGTCTTTGCCAACTTCACCCACGTGCTATGCCTAACTGCGGAAAAGCAACGGTGAAAAATCAGTGCGAAAAGTTCCACGAAACACGTGTACGGGTTTCTTCCCCACTAAGTTATTATTATACGGTCGAAACACATTTTCCGATGTCAATGAAACAGCAATCGGTTGTCAAAAGTGTGACACCAGTAACAGGAAACAAATATTCTGTTAAAAGAAATCGCAATCTAGTAGGCTGTAATTAGTGTCGCCCTTTTTTAGTTAGCGTTTTTTTTTTGTGCAGAGCACATTCGAACCATTTAGTCAAGTGATCCTTGTGCTTGTGGACATTCACGTGATCTAAGACGCCCATCCGCGTGAACTTGGAATTACGAGCAAGTGGTGTGCACGTTTTATGCACACCGTCTTAGAAGTGCCCCGCAAAGCGTTATTCAGAAAGCAAAGCACGCGATAAAACACCTCTATCACGTTTGTAACTCTCAAATCCCCCTCAGGGGTCCAATGACATCAAAAGGTCGGACTCTTGTTCAGTCATCATCGATGACTATAGGTTCAACAGCATCCATTTGTGGTGGTTGGGGCATGGCATAAATTAGAGCACGAAGATTGACACTACACTTGACCTCTTTCCATGGCCTCCGAGATACTCTCCTTTGAGTCTCAACTGACAACGCCCTGCGGGCTTTCCTGTGAAAAGAAAAATTACAGAGAAAGAGTAAATGCTATGACCACAGGGATCTCATTCTCCTACTTACAACAACCCGGAGAGTAGTAGAGCACGCGTTTCCTCAACCCCTACCCCACTCCTCGCTGGTTTTTTCCCGTTAACATCTTTTTGCGCTGTTGTCACAATCTGAACGCCTAAAATAAGGCTACCCCGGCGATAAGCAGAAGCAAATCTCTCGAAGATAAAGTAGGTGGACCAGGGTCCGAAATTAACTTTTTAATACGAGCGCCAGCTGGCGATCAAGTATATATTTTTGGTCGCCAGAGGGAAAATTGTGGTCGCCAAAAATTCCCCCTCCCTTTTTTTCAAATAAAAGTTTAAACACGAATAAAAAATGCATGGTATGGACGTTTTTGTGCTCAAAAGTTGCACTACTCCCGCTCCCGATACCAGAAAGCAACCGTACGTGTACGAGTGAAGTCTTATTTTTTCCACAAATTACTTTTTGAAGATATAAATGTAAAGCTATCTGGCCTAGAACGTAGGAACAGAAAGCTGTCTGCTCATGACTGCACTGATCATATCAAAACTCTATTTTCTTCCGTTAACTACCACGAAACATAGCCGCCATGTTGCTCGTACCAGGCCACAACTGTGCCACATTACTTGTACCAGTCCACAAAGTACATAACGTACTTACCGTATTTCAGCTGAAAACAACATGGCGGCTTGGAAATGTTCAACTCGTATTGATCGTAGCTGTTGTGGAGGTATTATTACAGGAAGATTCGTTTCACTTTTAATTAAAAAATATCAGCTGGACAAAAAGTAAGACACCTGTTGGCAAATAGCTTAGAGGTTTAAATTCTTAATCAGTTTCTCCGAACGTTTAAGTACACAATAACAACCAGCTTTACAAGTCACTAGCTGGCGACCACCTATGAAATTCTGGTCGCCAGGACTAAATTTTTAGTCGCATTGGCGACCAGGAAGGCGTAATTTTGGACCCTGTGGACCGATCGCGACGGCAAAGTAATGAAATAATTAACAAAATCGTAGAATAAAACTTGAATACTTTATTTTACAAACTTCGCCGCTTTAACATTTCTCTAATAACAATAATAATGCCAACTTACTTACCTCGAATGCTTGTTCGACAAGAATTGAAACTCCTCGGGGGGATCAATAAACTGTGGATGGATACCGCCTTTTGACATAACATGCTTCACTGACGGAGCTGGCTTGTTATGAACGACTGGTTTGGTATTCTGACTTACAATCACTTTGTTTGGCACAGCATTACTCGCCGCATTTGCAGTCACTCCACCCTCTACCTTGATGGCAGGTGCAGGTGCAGGTGCAGGTGCAGGTGCAGGTGCAGTAGTAGGGGGTTTGGGGAGCAGGTAGGGCTTGTTTCCCGCGCTTTGGGCAGCATAGTTGGGCACAGCTCGTTCTACATGGAGCTGGCCGTTAATGTATGACGTCACTGAGTGTTGGGCGTAAGGCACGATCTTGGTAGATCCGGGACCTAGAGCTGGACTGACGTCACAGTATGCTGGGTATGACCGCTGTTTTGGTGGCTCGGTGGACGTGTGCATTGTTTGTTCATGGTGTATTAGACTTGCTATAAACAAATTAAGAAAGAAAGAGTAAACATTTCAATTCTGGTTCATTAACAACGTAATACCTTGGCATTCATGAAAATGTTGTTTTTCGTTTTGTTTAAGGGGATGGTTAGATACCAGAAATATCACTTGTTGAGCCAGTAAAGACAGAATCTCATCTGCTGGCAGACTGGTCTGGTGTCTCAGTCTATTCCCTCTAGTGCTCGCTAAAATTAGCCTACGCGATCAGCGGGTTAAACGTATCGTAAAAATGAAAGAGTTTCTGGAAAAGTTGCAGTTTTCTGTAGATGCATTCTCCTTCTAAACTACGAAACATTTTAAAAAAAACTAACGCAAATTCCATATATAGTATGAATAAACAAATCTCTGCAGTCCCCCATCCTCCGGAGAAACATAAGAGACTCACCCTGATTGTGAAGAATCTTGCCGCAATAAGTGCACTCGCAGCCTTTCTTTCCTAAAGGAGAAGTTGCGCTGAGCCTCTTTGGTGAGGGGCCTGCAGAAATAAACAGACCAGATTTGGTTGACTTTGGTATTGCTTTGGTTTACATTGTTAAGGGTATGTTACTGTCCAACAAACTCGCGTAGCTTTGCCAAATTCTCACGCGTTTTCCCGCCCTGCGCGTCGGCTACTGTATTTGCGTTGATTGTCATCTTCGTATTATCCTTTAAAGCGGTTATTTTTAATGAAGGATCGCAAAATAATAAAACTTCTAACATCTGATAACTTGTTTCCGTCACTACGACATTACGGAGCTTAAGCAACAACGACGGCTGCGAAAATGTCATTTATAAAGGAAGCCGCACTGCTTCAAACTTGATCGCTCTTATTCCATGTCATTTAATTCGTCAAATGTTGGCAGTATTTTTTGGACTTGAGTTCTAAAAGACTGTATCGAACTTCAGGAAAAGAAAAGAAAAGTCGTTGTCTTGAGTTCACGCCCTCCATAAAACAAGAAATTCGGCATTTTCAAGTCGTAGTCGTGTAGCGACGGCAAAAATGCACGATGCACGTGAGGGTTGCTGTTTTGCCAATCCAACCTATTGTTTGCCGTTCTCGTTGACGTCGCCGTCGTCGTCGGAACAAAGCGTTGCAATGTTGGAACAATGTTGCAGCTATTCAAACCAATGCTGCAACGTCGCGTTGCTCTAATAAGCGTCGTTGCGAAACATCCCGTGTAACATCACCTTTAAGCTCCCTAATCTCGCTAAACGTACTCGTAGTAGAATGACGACGGCTACCATGTTTTCTCGCCAAAATGACGCTAGTTCACGCGCGTGCACTACTGTACACTACCACGTCTTGTAACCTAATGATCTCTAGTATCTTACCATCAATTCCATTCTGTTGAACTTGGCCGCCATCGTGAGATCTCTTCCGAGACATCATGTGGTTACTGGTTTGTGTAGGAAGCGGTTGGTTTTGAACAACAGGTTTAGCTGAGGGTATAGCCGCATATTTCCAGTCACTCGCCTTGGGTGGGGTCGGCTGAATCGGCACATAACTTTTGGAAGGGGGAATCATTTTCCGGGATGGGGAGGTGATTGAATGTCCTGTAGGGGTGGGTGGTGAGGGTGTGGTTGGCGATTGTTCCTTAGGGATGGGTAGGAGCGTTGGCTTTGGCGGTCTTGGTTTGCGCGGTTTAGGAGGATTTGCTTTGATTTTGTCGACGACATCATGGATTTTTCGTGTTTTCATCTGCTTTTTGGCCTTGATTATGGCGTCTGCTTTGGGTGTCTCAAGCCTCTTTAAACCTGAAAATAAAACCTTGATTTGAGCACAACAGAGAATACAAGATAGGTAACAGTCGACCTTCTCTAAGGCGGACACCGTCGGAACCGGCACTTGACCCTCTTGAAAAGGTATTCCGTCCTCGTTTTTAGGCTTATTTCTATTTTCTAAGGGAAAAGCCCTGGAAACGAGGTTCAAGGTATCCGCCTTATAGAGAGTCAGAGAAAATGACTTGAGAAAGAGACTAATTCCAAGTGTCCGTTGGATAGAGATGACTGCCTAAGAAGAATTGATTGTACATCTGTTCCCTTGACGAGAGTAGGAGCTAACAGTTTCAGAACTTCATTGGTTTGTTCTAACGCTAACTGGATCAAGCCCCCCAGATCATGCTCTCAGCGCGAGCAGGTAGGAGGCAGGTAAACCAGAGAAGCTTAAATACAACAATCTCATGATCTGAAACCGCGGCGATTACAAAATTTATAGTTATGAGTCAAATCAATCCACATACATTGGGATCTGATTTCCTGTGTGTTTAATGCCCCTCCGGGCACTCGGCAGTGATGCACTTTATTATACAGTTCCTGACAGAGCCGCCGAGAAAGTCTGGTCAGCGGTGTGGCTTTCATATAGAATGGTGACCTGGGTTTTAGTTTGCGTGGGCTGGGTGGCCTGTACCCATGCACAGCCGTTAGATGCCGAGTGAGGTTTGGACGCGAATTAAACACCTGCAAGGAACAAATAGCAGAAATTTGTTATACTTCAATTCCAACAAAGCAACCATGATTAAAATCAGGTTAAAGGAACCTACATCTTAACTCTTTGCATCCATGAAAATACCGAGATGTCCAAGAAAATCAAATTAGAACAGTCAGTTTCATTAAAAAATTTTAATAATGAAATTATATCAGAAAAGGGTTTTGTTTCCGCGGACGTTAAAATGCCTTCAGAAAAAAAATTTAGTGAAATGAATAACCTTGAGTAACATCAACAAACAAATAACAAAACAAAGCATTTATGGGCTTCAAATGGCCCAGCTTTAGGCTTTCACCGACAGACTTGCAGTTCCATTAGCAATAATCTTGTAAAGCATAATTTATAGCTTGTTGCTTCCTTCCATATGAAATATCATTTAAATTGAGTATCAGAATACGCACATAACATAAGACACAACTGTGCTACTAAACTCAACCTTAAAATACTTTTTCTAAGCTAAAAAAGCTTTCTATGTAAACCCCAAAACTGACCTTGTCACACCGTGACACTGCACATTTGTACATTTTGTGAATTGACATGTGGCTGGAGAGACGCTCTGCAGATAAGAAAAATGTCAAAAAAAGCAGTGAATTTCTTGTAGAAGGACTATTTTTAGTAAATCTCAACCATTCTCGCACACTGAATGGCATTTGTCTGCAAAACAACAAAGCAACAGCACTTGATTAATAAATCTATCAAACACCACAAAAATTAATAGAAGGGTATTGTACCAAGAGAAATTGAACACATGCAGAAATTTAGTGAACGATGAAATGGTATTATGGGCAATGTTAAAATAAGAAAAATAAAAAAAAACCTAACTCACACACACAAAAAAAAACTTTGTTACCCTTAATACACTTCAGTCAACTTTTTTTGGACTGGATAAGGTTCAAGACATTAAGAATGCTGTTCACCAAAAACAATAAATAAATCATGCAAAAAAACTGATATCCCGTTTTGTACCCACATCCTCAGTGCAAGACAACTTTATTTCATGCCTAATAGACCTTTTCGGCTAACTCAATGTTGTACCCAATTCAAACCCTTTGGGAATAAAATGTTTTGTTTCAGGAATTTCCATATCATTTAAATGTGAATGCCACATTATAATGCAAATACAATACACAAAGAATCTTATCCCCGGGAGATTTGAATTGGGTACAACATTGAGTTAGCTGAATAGGTCTATTGCAAGCTCAGTCAGGATTCAGTATTGAGAATGCTAATACTTCTTTTTCCCAGCAATGTCTGTCTTAGAGGAAAGCTTACTGTGCAATAACAAAAGGAAATCTTCACAAATACAGAAATACGTGGACCACGCTGTGCATTTCTGATTAGTGTTGGATTTATAGTAATTTAGCAAACATTTTCCTATTTGTTCTGCTTGTTGTCGTTAATCTGTTGAACCTTCGTATTTCGCTTTATTTTGCTTGTTTGTTTATTTATTTATTTATTTTACTGTTTCGCCTCCTTTTTATTTGCCGCCCTGTTATTGTAAAGTTTATTGTAATGTTATGTTGAATGATGTTAAATAAATAAATTATTTTTAAAAAAAAGCTTACTGTGAAGCATCTATTTCACAAACCTGCTCTGTTAAACACTTTGCCACAAACTCTACACGTATATCTCGTTTCCAGTCCGCCTCCATGACCCTTTCCAGATAAACCATCTAAAGAAAGAAAAACAGATGTTTAATTAATCAGTTATGTAAGCATACCGAATGAGTCTTGTGTGTTAAATTTATTGGTAAGCTGTCATTTTATTTTAGAGCTGCACTGTTCCCCAAGGCTCTGTCCTTGGACTTTGCATATATTAAAATAAGCATGTAACAAAAACTAGATTGTCTATCCAATGTCCTGCTAAATAATTAATTATAATGAATATTATCAATCTAATCTATAGGTCACACTTTCATCAGCAACTTACACCATATTTATTTAGCCTGAATTTCATCCGGTTACTTCGAGTTGTTATTACTCCCTCAGTAAGAGGAGAAAACGACTCGAAGCAATCGGATGAAATTCAGGCTAATAATTATTGATACAAACTAGACATAAAAAAAAGAATGACTAGAGTGCATCTAGGTTTCTATCTATCATTCATTTATTAATCAATTTTTTTTTGTGCCTGTCTTGACTAACGTACTTAAGCTAATCATGGGCATCAAGCATTGTCATGTGTAATTTAAGTTTGAATAATTGTTGTTGATGATGTTGTGGTTACTATCTGGCTTTGTTTGAATGAGTTTAATATGCTTACCCGGTCTTTTTAATCCACCATATTTCTTCCAGTAAATCCAGCACAGTGTACAAAGCCAGAACTTGTGCTGAGAGTTTGGTACACCCCAGGGATACCATTGTTGGGATGAGGTTCCTGTACACACCACAAGTGCAAAAAATGAATATACTAGATAAACCATCAAAAACTGCCAGATAAAACAAACTTTGCTAGATGTTCATAGGTGTGGCATGTCTGTAACGTTCCAAGTGAGGTTTAAACCTTAAAATTCACTTATTTTGCATTTAAGAGAGCAGAAATTAAGTAAAAACAATAAAAAATATCTATAATATTCTTAAGATTAAATGAGACAGTTAACTAATGGGACCATGAGCATTTAAGTTATTCTGTTTGTTGTTATATTTTTATTTGACTTGTCATACTGCCTGAATAAGCCTTTTGCATAAATATAGATAATACACATCCCCAGAATCTTACCCTTATAATAAATGGTCCATAATGTGAAAGACAGATCTCTCTATCAATCATCTGATTTTTGGTTGAATAATGATTGCAGATGCACTGTTGCAATAGTATCGAGGCGTTTCAACAAAAACTTGAAGTAGCCAGCAGGTTTGAATAGAGTAACGAACTGTATGAACAAAGGGCCATTAGTCCCCTTATTCTAGGGGGGTGAGGAGGGGGTTTGGGCGTGCTCTGACCCAGAAAGTTTTTAAATTTCAAAGTCCTAAAATGCGATTTTCAGCGTTCTGCGGACTAAATTTGAGGACAAATGAGTGCGTTTTTCATTCAGGAGACTGTAGCTTTCAATCAGTCACACAATCAATTCCTACAAGCAATGAACAAATGAAAACTAAATGACATACTTTAGCAGGTAAACAAATTCTGCATAAACCTATAGGGAAACTTGTGAAAAACGGCTGAAATATAGCGTTCACATGACTAAAGCAACGTAAAACCAGTGGGCCGTCATAAAAACACGTTTCATTCAGATTTTTTGATAAATTTTTTGTTTACAACGTTATTCAAACTAGTTGCTTCTTCTTTCTTGAAAAAAAGGAGCTGACCTCTATCAGCAAAAAAGCCAAGGTGTTTCGTCGGCCGACTCAGTGCTTATTGATACGCCTCGTATCTTTGTACGAAGACCACTATTCTTGAAACTATTGCAATAGTATTTCAACTATCGTAATACTACTGCGTCACCTCTACATACCATAGCAGCTCTCACACGAGACACCCACAAGATTGCTGGCCACACCTGGTGGAGGTGTCAATATTATAGTTGATGTTTGTTTTTTTCCTGATTGAGTCGTACTACCACCCCTAAACAAAAATAAAATAAAATGAAAAAGAACAACATAAGCAAGGAAAAAATTGGAAAACTGAACATTTTTAGCTGCTACAAAAAGTCAGATATTTCCTGTGTTTTCAATGTTAGTGCATATGAATTACCTTAACATATAATTTCATAATTAAAGGAGCTGTGTCACGAAATTCAGCCAAATTAGGAAATTACAAAATGCCAGTAAAATTAAGAGAAACATGAAAATAACCGCTTAAAACTTTAAAGGAAGGTTAAAATAACATAACAGAAACAACAGATGCCAAGGATGGGCAAAACTGAAGAAGATTGAAATGGATTGAATTAGGGTTTTTGAAAACTGTTCAGCCTAACCGTTTTTCAAAGTTGATACCTGCTGCTTGCAACTTCAAAAATAATGCTCAGGAGACATATTTGTTTGTCTCGGATCTCTAATTTTGTCATTTACCTGTAATTTCTTTGCTTACTTTAAGTTCCATGGCGATTGACGCTGAGTAATTGGTAAAATTAAACAAAATGAACTGGACTGCCGTGACACAGCCCCTTCAATAGACTTCTTATTAAATTACAATTTACACAATGTCATTATTTTTGAACAAACGACTAAAAAAATAAAAAACGAACAAAATCTCAGAGACCTGGTTTGACCACTGTTACTGACAATGTTATATTTGTAAAGTAAATTGTGTAGTTCCAGAAAATATCCAGACCCCCACCACGGAGGGAATTTCACTTAGGACCTCCCCACCTCCCTGGATTTTCCATTTTTGCAGGGAACTGATGACCCCCCACCCCTTCGGAATTTCCACAAATGTGACAAAGACCCCCCAACCCCTCTGGAAAAGTTCATTTTCACGAAGAAAGACTATTAAAGTAGAAGAATGAGGTAACTTATGGTTAGTACCCAACGGTTTCCATCAGAAGCTTGTATGCTTCTGTATCCAGTTATTTGAGTGATCTCGCAACATTAAAACACACTACACCGCCACAAAGTAACCTGATCTGTAATTTTTGCTCATCTCTTACTTTTAATGAAACAGAGAAAGTTAACAACTCGGTTATATTTGTGAATTTACCTTAATCAGGGCAAGCTTCGATTTGTTATTCGTCTCATGGGCGTAATGTTGATAGAATTAACGCCATTTCGTGCGGGAATGCAGAACAAGTCAAACTTACGACCACAAAATTAATGCAAAACAAAGAGGAGAATAAAAACTCTGAATTCTGAAATGATAACAATGAATACCCCCTGCATCTTGAAGATACTTGAAGGGAAACCAAGTTCAATTTACTGTTTTTCGATCGACTGATGCGACGTGATGCGCGATGGCCGTATGTTTGGTGAAAATTATCGACACCATTTCAGCGAGAATTCGATCAAGAACATGCCACACGTTTAACCACAAAAGTAAGGGAAAATGAAAAGGAGAATAAAAACTCTTCATTCTAAAATGGTTACAATGTATAGCTTGTGCTTCGTGAGGCAAAATTGCCACTCTTCTGATCTATCGATCGACTGACGCAACATGTTGTGTTGCGTGATGTGTTGCATGCGTTGATTTTTCGGGGAAGACTGGTAACGAGTAATGGCGGCCGAATATACGAGCATGCGATAAAACGAGTTGTAGTCGGTCTAATTCCTTTGAAATTACATCCAAAACGCTTTTGGAAGAAAGGAAACCTGGTTAAGATTAAAAGGAACAATCTTAAGTGATATATTTCAAGTTATTATGTCCTAAAAATGATCTACCAGGTCGGTAAGAAGCAATGTTCGATCTCAGGTCGAAAACAAAATGATATTGCCCCCCCTGGAAAGTGATTTTATGGTCCAACCCCCCTCCCTTCTGGAATTTCCTGGGCCTCTGACCCCCCACCCCCCTGGAATTTCCAATTCCCTCCGTGGTGGGGGTCTGGATATTTTCTGGAACCACACATTTTCATTTCCTCTAGCTTCAAAATAAACAGATCACACAGAGTTCTAAAAAAGCCTCTGGGTCAAACCTATCTTCATGTCAAAGGGTTATTTAAGCTCTAAAAATAAGCTTCTGGTCTAACTGGTGTCTTGTTTGAATAGGGATTGGTTTATTTTGTATTTGAAAGTAATTACAAATATAAGTGTCTGCAGGCTTGAACACTTGGAAGGGCAGATAAAACAGGCTCTGTGCGTTTTGAATTTAGGCGGTTTTAAAAAAGTTACGTTGTGATCAAGAAAACAATAATAACTTACAGTCCAGGAATGTATATCTGTGTTAAATTACATTCCTTGGAGACAGCCTTGAGTCGTTTCTGCAAAATACAAAAGTAAAAACATATCATTCAAATGGTACTTTTGTAAAAATGATATGAACATGTCTACCTGTAAATAATGTATGTTATTTTAGCTGGAACAATGATAATATACTAACCCTAGTGTCTTCATTTTTTTACAACAATTGCTGGTTTGCATGCGGCATCTCAGCGGCCATGTTAGTGGTCAAGAACCAAAGCTTTTCTCTCATCTGGGAACTAAGCTGTATTGTCGTGTAAATTCTTCGAGAAATTTTGACCCCCAACATGGCTGCCTTGTTACGTGGTTGCAAACCAAGAATAGTTCTCAAAAGAATTCAATCAGTTACTGTGTGTACAAACACTATGTCTTAATACACTACTGTAATACATTGAAATAACCATGCCTTTCTTCATGTTAAATTTAGAGGAAACACAAACACATACATCAGGAAGTTTTTAAATCATTAAAAATAACCTTAGTAACAGAGCAGACGATTGTCTGTTAACAACATCCCATATGAGCATGGTAACGTAAAGGTCAAGATAACTTCCAAATACACTTAAGTATTATTAATTTTGTTCAAGTTCCCTGCCTACCTGGTGCAGATATCTGTCTGTGGTTTTCCACATGTAATAATACTCAACTATACTTGGTAGACTCTTCCATGGAAGCTACAATGAACAAAATAAAACCTTGCTTTAGTGTAAAACCTAGCTTGCTTGGCAACTCTCTGCAACCTAGTGCGACTACTTTCTAGAGCTTGTCAGTTTAAAATCTGTCAGGGACTCAATTTTTTGACCATGATGGGAAAACCAAGATTTTTATGCAAGATTAACAGTTTTTGTCTTTTAATGATACACCATTGAGTAGTCCAAGGTATATAGAGAACTGCTCATCAACTGAAAACGCTGAGCCAGTGAAAAGTTTTTTCTGAGACCTACATATTTTTTTACCCTAATTCATAGAGTAAAGTAAATAGCCATAACTACTGTGGGTGTTATGACAATGAATAATAACTCAGCAAAGAATGTAATTTGAAATCTCTAAAAACTGGAGCATTTATCATAAAATTAATAATCTACATAAGGTTCTACTCACAAAGTCTTTTTGAATGTCTGAAAAATCTTTTCCATATTTTTGAAGGGCTTCTTCAAACAAGTTTGCCTCTCCTAAAATAGCAAAAAATTGATAAACAATTAGTTCTTTAACTCATTAATGTTAAATGATATAATTATGTCTAAATGTCAAGTTTTCATGTGAAGTTAGGAATTTTCACACATCATGGAAGTCAAGCAACTGCAAAGAAATGTACACATGATACACATGCTTTGCTTTCTTTCTCGCTCTGGTTGCAGTCTCCATTGTCATTGCTTACGTTTGCTAATAATGGTTCACTGAATTCTCCAGATGAGGGTGAAATTTAAACACAATCCCTTCAATTTCCAATGGGCTCAGGTAATCCGGATTGAGAGTTCTAAACAGAGATTTATCCTACTGAAGAAACACCTTCACTTCACCACATCAACACAAACTGAATGTCACCAGTAACCAACCTGCAGACCACTCTTCCATCTCATCCCGGCACAGAACAGGTCCACCGGCAGGAACAAGATTAGCTATTGCCTTGCCAATGTTGTAACCGTTATTGTGGAGTATAAACATGCCATGAGCCTAAAAAATATTTGTCAATTGATCTTTAAAATGATAACCAAAATATTCAAAGTACAGCAGAACCTCAATATAATGAAGGGCCAGGGGACTAGCAAAAATTGTTTGCTATAACAAGGTTTTGTTATATCAAGGCTCTTTTTTATAAACTTTACTATTACTTGGGTAAAGAAAATCATTCATTACACCAAGGACTTCTTCATATAGAGGGTCGTTACATGTACATTGCGGCTCCACTGTACAATAGAATCCCAATCCTGAAACCACAATTTGGCCTGTTTCCCCAATCAAACACTGTAACCCTCAACCGCCACCTTGGCCAAAGATTTGAAAAAATCAGAATTCCACTTTAATTCAGTTTTTAACTTGTGAATTACGCGTAGCATAAGGAACGAGTTATTGTGGGCACCTCCCCTTGCTTGTATCTTGTTAAACATTTGAGTTACTCTGAGATGTGCTGTAAACATTACCACATCATCTTTTCAATATTTTTCCTTTAAGTTTAAGAGTGAAATTTGAGTTCAGAAAGAGGTAATTCATTATTTTAAAAATCAGGATTTGGTCACATGAAAAGCTACAAACTTACTCAAAACCAAATCACTATTATTTTGCTTAAAATATTACCACTAATCGCTTTTTGAAGGTAAAATAATATAACTTTCATTTTCATAAAAACAATGTCATATGACCTCTTGGTGCAAATGGCCTATTAAGATCCACAGCATTAACCTTTTTGAAAAAGTTTTCCTGAGGTAGAAAGAAATTAAATGACAAGTATTCAAGAACATCTGATATATCTTTAAAAATAGACCATTTTACAGTTGTGAGCTTAGAATCCCAGCCTTTCAGTGAATGTGAGCCTGAGGTTGACCTTGTTTTGATACAAACCTCTTTCCTTTTCATATGGAAATTATGCTTAAAAATACCAGTTTGAATAAGAAAAACATGATTTACATAATAAAGCAGGAAGGGTTGTATCAAAACAATGTCAACTCCAGCCTCGTTTCCACATGTAACTGTAAAATGGCCTACATTCAACCTTTGAAGTCTACTGGTTTACTAAGGATAATGAAAAAAGTCACTCACCAAAGTAATATCCCTTGAAGCTGCTGCAGCACTCATATGAAGGCTAGGCTGTTTTACTGAGCTGCTGCAGTCAAGTGCTCTTGCAAATGTTCCAACGGATCTATAACAAACAAATAACCAGTACACACTGTAAGTGGTTTACAAGGATAAGCAAAAGACATTTTTAGTCAAAGAGGTCCAGATCAACAGGGACTCCATTTACACTAACTCTGCTAAATTGGATGCTCCTGGATAAATATTGATTTTTTAAAAAAGAGTACATCCTACTCTTTCAAATGTTGGATGCAAGTACATGTAGGTTTATTTCCTTGCCCAAAGCCACTAGCTAGTCTGTCATTAAAATACGTTTTGGAAGGGTAAGTGAAGCAATGAAAAAGTGTTCATATTCCAAGGGAGTAACTTAATTAGCCCCAGGACACCAAACGGTTACGCCAGCTGGGCATTGACTGACATCACGTTGTAATCAGATCATATGTGTCTTGCTTAGTCTTTCGAGTAGCTGTTTTCTTTATTTCCCTCCCTCCCACTCTGGAGGCTTCTGTCAAGTCCTCAGAGGCCGGCCTAGGTTTGCTCATTAAAGATATCTGAACAGATTCACTGTCTTGTTGTTTGTTGAGGTGTGCGGGGACACTGCGCTCCAGAAAAAAGTCAAAGACAAGCTTTACAGCTTGCTAAAATAATAATTTTTATAATGAACCTTAGAAGCCTAGAAGGGGCTGGGTTACTCAGGGAGGCTTGTTGATCAATAATTCTCAAGCACTGGTCCTTGAAAATGTCAAAGGTGAGCACTGGATTTTTAATTATTATTATTATACCTTGCTATTACGAGGAACTGGTCAATGTGTTGATCTTGTAGAGGATTGTTTGGATCCCACACTAATGTCTCAAGCTTTGAAAGATCCCTGTCATCTTGTAACCCTATAAAGAACACAAGCTTCTTTAAATAGCTCATCAACAAAAAATCTTGAAGTACCATCAGCAATAATGAGGGGCCAAAGGAGATCCCAAGTAATTTTTTTCATTGATACTTAACATATTTACTGGAAATTAAACAAGAATGTTCCATCCCAGAATTGCTGTTGTAGTTTTATCTTATGTAGTAGCTGTTGCTACTTCTAGTTAGGATCATGTCACATAGCCTCATTACAGTAAAGTGTAGTTTCATGTCTGAAGACAAGATTTAATCGTGAAAAAATTAAATTTTTAAAAAGAAAGTCCTTGACAAAACCTCAGCAAGCTCCTGTAAGTGTTTGTTTAAATTTTGAGTTTCCATTGTATTATAAATTGATAAATGGTTTAAAAACCTCTTAGTCTCCAACAATAAAAATTACCTTTTATAGCAGTTTTGGGCACATGAGCCTGATATGCTGTCCCAATTCCCATTTCACCTCTGTCTGCAACTAAGGTTTTTTGTTGTGGGTCATAAACCAGGAAGTAGTGGAACCAGTCCTATGTAAAAAATACAACATAAGTGTAATCTAGTTGTCTCATGGTTTGAGCATGGTATACTAAGTATACCATAGTAGTATATAAAGTCTTTATATATCTGGCCCCAGTTGTTCAAAAGGTGATTAACACTATCCATGCGAGTAGTTTCCCTAACCTTTATCCACTGGATAGTGATCAATTGATCTGGTGGATGGCGCTATCCAGGGTTTGAACAACTGGGGGAATGTAGTTTTAAAAGTCTTTTGGATGAAATCAAGGAGGAGGAAATTTATTCAACATGGTAATATAAAAACAAGAATTACTTTTGATTACACATTTCTTGAGTAAGATGTGACAAGATTTTTTTTCTTCCAGTTAAACCTGTATTAAGCAGTCACCATTTCGCAATGGCCAACTGATCACTTTGAGGTTGACTGTTTAAATACAGGTTTGACAAACCAACGAGTCCCTCAAGAACATGAAGGTGGTGAGAAAGCAAAATCTCCAAAGATCCCAAAGTGTTTCTACTGATTCTTGTACCAAAAGAAAGGAAATAAAAGACCGCTAAACACTTAATCCCGGTGTAGCTAGCACATTACTAGTTATGTACATCTTGACCAAGTCACCACTTTATAGAGGTGAGGACCATTAAAAATAACTTGCTGAGACCTTGGAAAAGATAATCATGGCCACCTAAAGGAGATCACAGCTTATGTACACAAGTAAGTTCTACTTACAGTATTTAAGAAAAATGATTTCTGGGACTTAGATAAGTGAGCGCTTTAAAGAGGTTGAATGCTTGAAATACAGCTGGTTTGACTGCATTTTATTCCTTCTCTAATGTATTCTTTTTTTTTTCAAAAACACAACCTCCAATTTTTCCCTAAAGTACTGAGATGTTGTCAACTCATGACTCAATTAAACTATTAACACACCTCTTTTTCTAAATACTTTGGTAAAACTTCTGCTTCATTGTACAGTGTGACCAAACATTTCCCTCTGAAAGAAAATAAAATAAATTAACCTGGCTCACTTTGGAATTTCTTTGGAACCACTTTTTAAAATCGTACAATGAATTTTTAATGTGCCAAAGCTAATGCCCAAGTTATATACCTCATTGGTACTTAATTTCCCAGGTACTTACAGTTGTAATTTCCGAATTTTGGTGAGAGAGTATTTTGTGGGTTTTTTTTTGCGATTTAACAAGTTAACATGAAAAAAAGGGTATTAAATTTTGCGATTTTAAATGTTCTCAACTTCATTTTCTTTTTCTAAGAAGTCTGAACCATTAAGAAAATTAGATAAACTGGAACAAGGGATATGTGAAATCTTTGCAAACTAACATCATTTCACGGCAAAAGATACAAAATGGAGCTTACCAGTAAAACCAGAAAGCAATTTGTGTTTGTCGATACATATCGTTGCTATTACATGTCAACTGTCATTTGAATTTTCTATATGGGTATTTAATTTCACCAGCTTTTAATTTCACAAGGATTTATTTTTGGGGGGTTTTAATTTTGCTATTTTTTTGCAATCACAAAAAACGCGAATTTAAAGACCAGCGAAATTAAGTACCAATAAGGTAACCATTATTAGAGATTTGTCCATATTTTGCTTCAAACTGTATTAACCCTTTACACCCCGATATTCTCTGGACTGATCAACATACATTTCCTGAAAGAATTAGCTGAGATAATTAAATAAGAGGCCAAAGCATTGATAATGTTCTGATTCTGTCAGGAGAAAATTGACATCGGTCACTCTTGGGACCTTACGGGTTAAGTATGGCAAATCAAGTTCTGATTTTCCACATTAATAGGATTATTTTTGTCAATTTTGGTGGACAAAATCTGAATTAAATTTGAATCAAGTCTATTTTCACGGCTGTTCCCTTAACAAAACTCATGGCTTCCAAAAATTCGGTCACTTTGGAAAACTAGCTGACCATGTCTTTTAAAGTAACGTGAAGGGATTTCACCTCGGACACCTGGATCAGAGAAAAGGTGGTTGTCCAAAGGGGAACCAAGATCAAAGTTAATTTTAGACCCTGGACAAGTAACTTACAGCTAAGTTAGTAATCTCCAAAAAAATGCTGATGAACTTTTAACCAATTCTTTTCTACCTAGTGAATTCAATTAACGGGCACTTCTCCCTGCAAATCATCAAATCTGATTAACTAGAATATTACCTTATAGTATTAGCGTTGATGTTTTCATATTGCCGTGACAAAAATACTTCTCTGTGGCTCAGCTGATGTCTCAATAAATCTTCCATTTCGTTATCTCCCATTTCAATTTCTGCATCTTCCTCAGCTTGCACTGTGTAAAAACAAACATCCATAAGAAACATTACTAAAGAAAAGCTTGAATTCCAGCATGTCCTTTAGACATGTACAAGCAGCTCTGGCATTCTGCTTGCCCAGTGCCATTGCTAGCTTGTGTTAGCCAATGAAATAATCACAAGATGACTTGTGTCGACCCTTGCCCATTGGACAAGTGAGGTTACTTGCCCAAAGAGAAAATCTGCTTGTCATGGAAGACCTGAAAGAACTTTCTTCAAGGCCTGAGTAACCAAATACTCCACTGGAACTTGCTGAAGGTGTTGACAATTTCTAACAGTCAAGTAATTTAACATCTTGGCATGCTACACGAAAAAACATGCATTTATTTAAAGCTGAGTGACTGGTAATAACCTTCAAATATGTTAATGAAAAACGTTTCACAGTTTTTTATTCTGAACTGGTCTTGTAACTAAAGATCCCAGACTCAGTTATTATGGTATGGTATTGAACTAGAAAATTTTATCACTTTTAGTATTAAACCATGATATATTATTGTTCAAAAGCACTACCAGTGCTGGCACGGACTGTGGGTAAATAACAACTACTTTGTGACAACCAGACCATGACATTACGTTTGAATAAATCATGTAAATACCTAAAATTAGTATTAGTAAAACCATCAATGTTAAGTACAATCTAATTAGCACCATTATGGACATAATTCAAAACTTTTATGATAGAAAATCACTTCTGTTGGGCATGCATTAGATAAGTTTTTTGGTTCAGATTTTCACACTTAGAGAAAATGTTTGTCAAAATGCCAAAAAAATATACTATGCAAATAAATTTTACATCATGTTTGTACACTGTAGTAACACAATATAAAACCCCTGATGTGTCAAGATTTGTGGTACAACTTGTTTTTTGGCCATCAACTCCACCTTACTTCTGAGGATTATTTACATATGTATTTTTAAGAGTCACAAACACATCAGGTCAACTTAAGTTTTAAGAATCATGCATTATTGGATTGCTGGTACATCTTTTAAAAAATACTCGACAAAATAGTGCACTGCAGTGGGTGAATTTGTATGATGCACATCATGAAAAGTGTGCCACAGAAAACAAATATATGGAAAGCCAAGAAAGTTTACAATGAAAGTAAGGAAAACTCTTTGTTTATGGTAATGTATCATACTGAATTCAAAAATATGAACAAAGGAAAAAAATGCACCACAACATATACTTAGATATGTCCTATTCCCTGTGCACATAAAAAAACTCAAACACATTGTGAACTACACAGTTCACCAGTCTAAGGAACAAAATCAATTTGTGTCAGTCTACAGATTTTTGCTGTAAAAGAGATGAGGTTAAGTTAGTTGAAAAGTTAAGTTTCGGTCAGCAGAAATTTTTTCAACTTCGAGGGTTTATCAGGCTTCCAAAGGCTTTTGTTCAGCCAAAAGTTTTAACTTTTTGGACAACTACCTTCAGTTATATGGAAAGTTGTGAATTTGACTTAATTTGAGAAAGACAACCATTAATATGTATCTCTACATTGATCTTAATTTTATTGAACTTTGCAGTAATGATATTAATCTTTACTAAAAGCAGCAGTTATCCAAGGATTTGAATATATAGAGTAGCTTCTTAAATCCAAGAAAATTATATACTAAAGATCATGGGTTCAAATTACATGTGTGTCAAAGAATATCATAAGTATTGTTACTGTATATCTAAATCAGTATTAATCACAATGTCCCCAGGGCACAAGGTAAATTAAAAAACACAAATACCATGGGTCATCATCTTAAGAAAAATGGAAATTAAGTGGGTACAGATAATATTTTACTTTCTTAAGACTTCCAGCTATTTTACTGGTGATTTCATCAACACAACATAGTACATGTAAGGACAGAGCACAGTTCAACAAATTTTCTGTTATGCTTTCCTAAATCTAGTAACAAATAAAAACAACTCCATACAGCAGAAAAATCCACTTTTCAATGGAAAATCCGATAGTTACTTCAAAAAGTGAGTAATTCTTAGAAATAATAATATTGATACACACAGTGGACTGGGAGCAATATAAACACAAAGCAATGAGTAAAACTGGGGTATATGTCTTTCTCTGAACTGTTATTGACAATTACCATATAAAAATTCTTGTGCTAAGGAGATGAAACACAGAGTGAAAAATTCATGTCATTCTAGAACCTCCAATTGACTTATTAGTTCTGGTAAATCTAAACAAAGACCAACTTTCTTGATAAATAATCAGAAATGTGTGTTTCTTTTCTATTATTTTTCGCAGATGACAATAAAGAAAGGAGAAGAGATACACAAACAATATTTTTAAAAAAATAATATTTGCATTTGAAAGTAAACAAACATATATGACAACGCAAAAAAATGCCCAAATCAAAATTTTTGAAGTAGAGATGTGATTTCCAGCCTTCTTATTCTCAGAATCTATAGAATTCTGTCTAAAGCTTAAAGGATATTTACAAGGTATACTTTCTGAGCACTATCCCAAGTCAGGAAGAAAAGAATGCTAACCATGGAAGCAAGGTCCCACATTAGTCTAGGTCAACATTGAATTATGTCACTTATATGGTAAATTATGTTAAGTTGTATTTAACCACTTTATAAGGACAATGAAGAAGAAAAAACTATACCACCACTTTTTGCTACCTGTAAATAGAAAACGTAGGAAAGTGTAGGAGCACTTTACAGGCAACCTTTTTTGACAAGATACAAACTAAAGCTTTAAAAAACTGATACTTACATAAGTGCCTTTCAGCTTGCAATGCCAGCGTCGAGGATAAATCTCGCTTTCTGTAAAAACACTGGACTTTTGCCTCCACTTGTCCATTGCTTGTCTTAAGAAAAAAGATGAAGTGTGTTTCATTTTCAAACATCCTCGCATAATTAACATATTTATGAGTACGCACAGAGCCACCTTAAATTTTTACCTTGGTCAACTCCTCAATTCTTCGTATTTGATACGGTAAAGCCGGGTTGGTTTCAACATACACATAATCTGTAAATAGCATAGAGAATAGGGCTGTTAGTCACCGTCTAATTTCATTGACTGGGCGGGTTGCAGCGAAAGAAAACGCACATGGTCACCAAGACAGGCCGCTAGTTGGTAACCGTATCGCGCGCACGAAAACGACAACGACGATTCGCGGCGAATTCGGAAAGTTTGTCGGTTTCAGTTTCATTTCTTATTGAATCGTATCTACATTTTTCGACAAATTACAGGATTATCAGTGTCCAGATATCAATTGTACGAGATTTCCCTCGGGTTTTCAAGAAAAGAAGGGACAGTGTGTAATGATGTCCCCGACAAGTTCGTACACCGTACGGCTTTTGTTCACTCGCCCGGTAGACAGGCAAAATAACGCAATCGTCCGCGCGTTAAAACTTATCACCTTTGTCAAGGAAAAGCTTTTATTTCCTAGTTGAGGTTTGCACAAAGAGTGAAGCTATCAAATCTGGGAGACAAAAACGACGTCCCAAAGATTTTTTTACGACGAGGGAAGTTGAAGCATTTCGTCAAAAATTCCCCCAAGTTTATATTGTGATCACACTCACCTCCAACCCGGAAAACATTTGATGCGTTCGCCATGTTACTTTTATGGCGGGAGTTTCTTATTCGAAACTGCGATCAATAAGAATTACAAATGTCAAGTTCTTCATGGAGCCTGTGCACTATTCCACCGAAAACGTCATACACCACACACGAACGCGGCCATTATTGTTCACCCCTCCAGCGAACCACGCGTCTTTTGACGTCACGAACGGAACGGGCTCGCCGCGTATTGTCACGAAGCTGTCAGATTGAAACAACAGCGCAGACTCGGACGAGTCGTATTCTTTCGTACAGCGTCGGATTGTTTAGATTGACGTAAGCGTGATTGACAGTTTGTTTGTATGTTTACTGGTTGCAACCTTAACCGACGCACGCCCAGGCGTTCCTGATTTTGATTGGTTCGCAAGTCGACATAACGCAAAATGCGTTCATATAGTCACGGCTTCGAATGATAACAGTTGATAATTCTGTTTAAATTTTGTAAAATATTTTGGGTGCAAATAACTGTATTTTGGCTCAGTTCGATACATTGCTAGTTTCCTTGACATCTTTAAGAAAATGAAGGCACCATTTTTGTTCTGAAAAAAACGTTTAACATATCAATATGCAACAGAACGAAAACGTCTGCTGCTAAACCAATTAGCATTGACAGATCGCAACGAAAATCAAATCTTCCTGCTTCATGTTCGGTTGTAAAAGTTATCATTTACCGTTCTGACCTATCAACTCAGTTGTCATTGAGGGGAATGCTACAGTATGTAACAGTCAATTCAAAAATGTTCAAAAATACATCTTGTTCAAATTGGGTTTGATTTCTGACGCTGTCCGTAATTTGATACCGTACTTTTTTTGATGACACATTTCAGCTTTTGCGCAGCCGTAGTTGAAGCGGCCGGAAGAGTATTAAACCGGTTTATCCTGTCTGACAAGCGGGTATGTTGCGACCAACAACAATAAACGGAAGGCTGGATCTGTCCGTTGATTGGTTGCTTGTTCCTATAAGAAAGTGATGGAAGTTTCTGGACAGTGGACACGGGAAATAAAATGCGTTCACTGGTCTTCAGTCTGTTTAATTCGGAGGAAATGCGAGTGGAAGCTGTATAGGGACTAAATATCCATTGAGATATTACACGTAACTGAGAAGCCAGTGTAGGGACTAACATCAGCTATAGACTTTAAAATAACAAACATTTGAATAATATTGGTACTATGCTGGAAGGATGCATCAAAATATAGTATGATTGCCTTCAGTAAATTGGAAAGTTTTAATAGTGAGAGCTAATATACCTAGAAGAGTCGCGGATTAATCTTCAAGGAACAGTACCAAATATTAATCCGGATTATTTATAAGTATTGCATAATAGTTGCTATCTATCATTGAATCGAGCCGGACACATGCAAGCGGATTCAATAAACAATGTACAGATTACAGGTGCCACGTTTTTGAACAAATCAGGGACGGATAATTGTTGGTATAAGAAATGAAGGATTCAAGGCGACAATCGCGGCATATAGCCCTAATACTTAACCATAATTTATGCAACCAATTTGCGGCAATGGAAATTTTATTTCATGAATAAGTCATTTGCACAAGACAAGAACTTGTGCGGGGGATACGCCATCAGTTTGACATAAAATAAAATTGTAAGGTGATCTTGATAAATCTCATCCATATCTTCTTTTGTTCTTTCGCGGTGAGCTGTAGAAGCAATCGCGACATCTCGTTACAGAAGGAAATCGTTTCCGGTCTGAACACAAACTCTTAGGGTGAATATATGCAAATAGAAGCTGCCGTCATTTGAAAACTATTGACTCTGCAAGATCAAGTCGTTTCAAATGTGAACGCTTGTGCTTGTTGGCGTACAGCCAACCATTACGGTCTACCCACACCAAGTGGTTACGGATGAATGCATTTGTATTCGTCATCGTTTGCTTAATAAAATTTGAGACTTAAACATGATGAATGGTAATTTAAACGTGAAAGACTGCTGATTTAAAGGTACTTGAAATCCTTTGATTTCAAAGCTATCCACTATCTAAAAAAAATGTAGGTGTAAATGAGTGGATTCGGTGATATTTCTAGTGTTTACATCACATTACTAGGGAAATTACTAGAAACATCGCTTCAATAGTAGAAACTGACCTTTGTATCGAGAAAGGAATTATGGGAATGTTCTCTAAAACTTCGATTTGAATGACAATTGTAACAGCTGCCACGTTTACACCGAGACTGGCCTCTTCTGTGATTGGTTCAAACAAAATATGATAGATAGTATCGACGACAGCTTCATGACATGAAAAGAGGGTTGATGTATACAAAGAGTATCTCGTATCGTCTGGTATCTAGTTATTAAGCACTCTCATCAATGCTGATAACTTTACCTGTGTATGTGTTAGTGTATTGGTTGAAATTGTTCTTGAGTACATCAATCAATTTCTACAATGAATAAACTACAATCTTTTTAAAATGAATTTAGGCTGGGAGCAAAACTTCTCCCGAGCAGTAAATGCCACAGATGACCACCACAGCATGACTAAGTTAAAGACAGGTGGACACTGATCAGATTAGTCGATCAAAGAGATAAAATTATTTACGTCGTCTTTAATAGCACTTTCCATTTGTCAGAACTGACAGGCCAGCCCATTCCCATCGTAATGAGAATTTCACTATTAATCAAAACTAACCATCCAGATCAGTCAATTCCTAAATATTATACGCCGGACAAAGGAGACGGTTTTCAAAAAACGTCTTGGAAAACGTCTAGAGCGATTTTCGTATAACCTTGAAATGAAAACGCGCGAACAAGACAGAAACAACAAACGAACGAAAATAGAGCGATTTGATTGGTTTGTCGAACGGATACAAACGCGGTTGGCTTTTGGTTGGTTAAGCGAACGCTCGGATGAAAAAACTTCACCATCGGGGAAAACTAACCCAGCAGTTCATTTTCTGTCGGTATTTTTTTATTTTCCTTCACAAGATATAATTAAAGGGGCGGACGCAAAAAATTCAGGAGAGGGCTGAATTTAGTGATTCAGTTAAAGAGACCCCCCCGTCAGCTGAGCATCGCGATCTTTAAAATCGCGGTGCTGTTAAATTGATGTTAAATTACTTGCTTTTGGTTCTCAACAAGTAATAAGGAAAACTGCTCGTACAACTCTATTATTTGTTGTAATGCAGTGGTTGTTAGTGACTGGTGCATTTTTTCTACGCTCCGCCTTACGTACAGTAAATGAACTTTTTAACCATGCAAATGTGAAAATACTAGACTCTTTCACCACCATGCATTTTCTGAAACGGTGAAAGTTTGGGACTTACTGACCGTGAAAACTCGTGTTAGATGATCACTGCTGATGGTAAAAAGATCTGCTTAATACAGATTGCTCTATAGTCTGCGAGAGCAGACTCCATTTTCGGTTCTTGTTTCACGGGCGTCTGCCGGCTCTTGTAGGCTAGTCGCTCTACTAGTCATGCACTTTCTCGTGGCAAGAGTGCTTGGGTCTATTGGGTCATTAAAATTTTCAGACTCCTTTAGGACAAACTCTTCGTGGTCTTTTCACACAAGCTTTAAATTTTGGTGAAAAGAACTTCGGACAACTACGTGATTTTTAAGTTTTATTAGTGACCTTACATGGTAAACTAAAATATGAACTAAACACAATTATACTAAATGTTTTAAGACTAATAGTACCATATAAACCTCGTAACACGCCTAATTATTGACGACAATTACGAGTCGTCTTACTAGTTAACTCCCGAGTCAATCTTTAACAGTGCCATACAGAACAGTTTATACTCTATAATATGCTTAACGATTCCTTTCCTCGCTCCAAGTCAGATTGTTCAATGGCATTTATTTTACCGGTTATTTTAACTCGTGCTTTTGGGACTAACTTATTTGCAATGAAAAGAACGTCCCATTCACACACAACCGATTTTATTTATTTCATTTATTTATCCTTACGTGTGGGCGGGACCTAATTATTTGTGTTACGAACAGTCTATTTTATCAAAAGATATAACAATAGCGGCCTTTACATTTTAGGACCAGAATTACCTAAAAGTTTTTTGCGTATTTTTTTTAAAAAGATACCCTGCGAAGCTTCATTTTACTTTTTCTTTACCAAAACTTAAACCCGTAGTAGAATGGCGACTGCTCTCGCTTAATTTTCTTCCTGTCAAAATGACGCTGGTTCAGGCGCTCGCAATACTTAGTGTTAAGAAAATCGCGTTGCTCTTGTAGTTGTCCTTGTCTTAGAATCGAAAGTTCTCTAATACCATAGAACGGTATAACTTAGAACAAAGTGACTATGGAACGAAGAGACCGGCTACCGTTTCGGCTTATACGCAACTCGATAATCTCCTTCTATGGTTTTCGGGTGTACGGTTTTCGGAAGTTGGTAGGCTTATCTTCAGACAGTCTACACCTATCATCTTTCTTTTGAACTTTCTCTTTCGTTATATCTCATCATCTTCTTCTTCAATCTCCTCTTCGACATCGCTTTCAGTGTCCTCCAGCTTTTCTGCATTAGAAGCCTGACTGTCAAACCTGTAGTCAGCACCCGAAGAGCGCCTGGACGCGCTGTAATTCAACTGGGATCCAGTCTCTTGAAGCTCATCTTCTGACTCTGCATCCACAATCCCGCCTTCCTTGGTAACCAGGTTTTGAACAAGCGCTTCGTCCACGCCTGCGCTTCGCAGAATATCCGCATACTTGCGCTCTGCAGCACGTCTCGCAGTAGCCTGGGATTGTTGTTCAAAGAGTAGCGGTCGTTTGTTTACACGCTCCTGCATCTCTTGAAGTTCACGCTGGTATTCCTCTTTACGCGCTCGATCACTTTCCCTAAAAGAAACGGACACGAATATCAGATGAGTTTGGACATAATTTGCACAGTGACAAGGGACGTCTAAGACATCTAGACGCATTGAACGATCATTGAACGATTGGCCGACATGTTAAAAAAAAGGCTTTAACGTCTGGGGACGTCTAAGACATTTATTAAGAGCGCCGATCAGGCCCACGTATAATAGACGACTTAAGGCGTTTTTAAAGGAGTCCTCTCGTCATAAATACGGCCACTCTCACAGCGGTTAAAGAATTCCAACATCATGTTCCAGTGACGGCCACGTGACTATTCCCATGTTTATTACCCTTATTGTTTGTCGCTGTGTGCATGTTCAGAAAAAAGTACGTTACTGCTTCATCGTTCTCGGATACATTTTCTATCATACAGACATATTTGCAGTTTGCCGGCAAATACTTCAACGACCAAGTGCTCGAATGTACTTCCCGCTTTTCATTACTTGAGATAAAAACGCAAACAAACTAGACTAGCTGCAAGGCTTTATAAAAGGGCATCTTTTCAGTACATTACAAGTTAAAAGACCCTAACCAAAGAAAGACGGATTGTGTGATTTGTTCTCGACAGAACAGAAGAGCCTACTCGCAGGCTACAAAGAACTGGGCTTTAAGACTTAAAAGAGTCAAAAGATATGAAAGATTGGAGTTCGCCCCTTACGGAAACGATTTGGTAGCGGAAAGCTAAAAGGAGGATTTGCCAAGGCGGACCTAAGTAGAACTGTCTGCTTATGTGATTGTACTTCAAGAGAGCTTTGACTGCATAATAACCCAGCGAAAAGAATCCTATCTCTCAATGCTTCGAATCTGTCAACATTAAGACAACCAGAGCATGATACCAGAAACATCGTCCCAGGAAAAGTCCAACATGACTAATGTTCTAACCTGAAACTTTGAACTTTTTCCTTTGCGGCTTTTTTCAGCTGTCCGCTATTATCATTCGCCATAACTTTTCTCGTCACTTCTGGTTTTAACATCTTCTGTCTCCGCCTCCTTCGTCGTTCTTGTTTAACCTCATCCTGTTCACTGGCTCGCCGCTGTTCAAGGCTCTTGCGAACCGTGTTTTCGCGCAGACGCGTGGACTCTGTGGTGCTGAAAGAGAACAATGGTAACTGTTACGTCTACACAGCCCGCGAGCGGAGGAAGTCGCGAGAAGTCACGCGAGAGTAGCACGCGAAAGTGAAGGGCGCGTTCTCTCGCAGCACGCTCCGCTCGCTCGCCATAAATGGGAGGAGATATTAGGGAAAAAATTAAGACTTCCATCGGGATTAAAGACGCGGCTCATACATACATACATACATACATACATAAACTTTATTTATCCTCGGATTTTAGTGTAGCTTACATAGCTAGTATCTCCGATCCTAACTAATGTTAAAAGTTACAACATATATAATATAATATTAATGTAGTATTAACTAAAACCGTGCACTAACAATTTGCGCTTAAATTCACTATAATCTACAGTCTTTCTAAAGTGATCAGGTAGAGAATTCCAGTACTTAACAGATGAATAGCTAAAGGAATTTAGACCATATGTGGTTGTAGACGGCTTAGGAAGTGATAAAATATTAGTACCCCGTAGGGAGTAAGTAGTAGATCTTAACTTGATCAGTTGTTTTAAATAGCACGGATATTTACCAAAATGGAGACATTTGAATATACAAGTCATCATATTTTGTTCAAAGCGCAAACTTTGAGTTAGAAACATTTATTTCTTCTTTCTCATCGCCCCTTTCACCCATAGAAGCACGCACGTGGCACCGCTGCAGCTGAAGCGAGTGCTTCTCTGGTTAGAGGCGATGAGAGAAAAGAAATAAATGTTTCGAACTCAAAGTTTGCGCTTTGAACACAGAAGAGACCTTTAGGTTTGAGGACAAGAACGACCACGACTACGAGATTTGCTTTCAAGTTTTTTTGCGTATTCTCAAAAAATAGACTTCCCGAAAGGCTTCATTGTCCTTTTTTCCCCCTTCTTTAACTTAAAACCCTTTCCCAATCGCATAATTATAAAACTTCTAACGTTTGATAACTCGTTTTCGCCATCACGACATTCTCGCTAAAACTCGTAGTAGAATGACGCCGGCTTTCACGTTTTCCCGCCAAAATGACGTTGATTCACGCGCGCGCAATGCTCAGCATTGAGAAAATCTTGTTCTCATAGTCGTCCTTGTCTTAGAATCTAAAGATCTCTAATTTCTCGCGAGGCCAAACTAAGAAGCATCTGCTTCAACTCAATTTAGCCAGACTTGCTCCAAATCGACCTCTCATTAGTTTCGCCAAATCGATACTTACAACTCTTTCGATCTTTAATTTTCATCGATTTCCGATATCAATCGATTAATTACTATCGATTAAGATAGATTACATTCGATTTTATCTAGTTTTGAATTTCATCGATTGGGCACGCCGGGAAGAAAGTGGCCGTTGTGGAGAGGTGACCATTGTAAAGAGGTTTAAACAAGAGTCAATGTATGGACTGTCCGCCAAAACAGTGGCCGTTGTGGAGAGGTGGCCGTTAGTGGAGATTCGACTGTAAGAAGACATTTTAAATTCGCGTCAAATCGTTCTAAAAATAACCGGGTCGGTAAAAGCGTCGTGACACGAGTACATGGAAGTTGCTCTCTCCGGGTTATCGGCTCCTGGTTAAACAATAAGGTCAGCAAAGACTCTCCTATATACCTACCCAAATGGAAGCGTATCGTGAGGAGTATGAGGCCTGGCACTCGAAGGTCGTTCTCGGCTGACCGATCGATCTCTAGACGATCGACCACTGATGGGTATCTCCTGAGACCGAGAGCACCTGGATTTCCGAGCAGTGGACACATGCGCCGTTCTTAGGTTGAATGGTTCGGACACAGTAGGTTCCCGTTCTCTTTTCTTGTCCCTCATCTCCTTTTCAAACTGTCTGTGCAGATCGTCAAAATCCGGTATATCGGGATTTATCTGGGGTCTAAACTTGTGTTCTTTTGTCATGAAGGCGTTCTTGTTGCCCTCTTTATTCAACTTGCTGCGAAAATGACCCAAAGTGTATTCTTCACCCCGTGCTTCCATATTAGGAGGCAAGCGGGACACGGCAAGCATTTCTTGCGCGCGCATTCGCATTTTAATCGTTCTATATTCTTCCTTCTCAGCCACCTTGTCAGCCAAAGTCAAATCGAACAAGTGATCAGGAAAAGGATTCGCTTTAAACTTCTTCTTTTCTTCCATTTTGTTCTCTAGATCAGCTATATTACTAAGGGATTTTGTTCGCCGCAGCTGTTTCTTTTCTTCTTCGCGTTTCACGAACTTAAACGGTTTTTCAGTAGATTTTAGAATCGCTTTGCTGAGCTCCCTAACTTGGTATCTCCTCAACTCATTTTGACGAGTTATTTCATCGTAAAGAGGCAAAAAGGTCGTAGCAGGAACAGGCTGGGCGCGGAATTTTTTATGCAGCTCTGCTTCTTCTTTTTCTTGTTTCTTTTTCAAATCCTCCTGAAGAATCGCCTGCGATCTTGTAATTTTTGCTTTCTTCTTAGCTTCTCTCACCGTCATACCAAATGGCTTAGGAATTGTTATCTGCGGAGTCCATTCTTTTTTCTTTTGTATTCTTTCCCGCGGAGGGCTGGATTCTGGCGGGTAATCATAAACGGAGAATCCTTCCCACATGTCTTCAACAACATCCAATGCGGACGACCTCCGCGGATACATTTCCTGGTATAAACCTGTCCCATCGTCTGATCCTTTCCTCGTTGAATTTATAGTTTCATCGTCCCAGGCTTCAGGATCACTGTAGGATCTTCTCCGCGGAGTTGGCAGCTCCTCTAGAGAAGAGTCACCTGCAGAGGGGTACATGAAGTAAAAAGTTAGTATTTGCACCTATAACACTCCCTCCCCCCTATATTGCTGTCTTTCTCAGGAAGGAGGAAAACAAAATTTCCTGAACGCATTACCCTGTGAAGCAGTAGTTTCAGTTTCCTTTAAGGCCACAGTGAAAACTGCATGAGATATGTTAAGACATGGGGGGAAAGGGCAAAGAGATCATAATTATGAGAGGGGAAGTGAAACTCAACGGCAAAATCTGCATCCATTGCAGGTCTGTCCAGTATTCTATGGGCCTGATTAATTTTGTCAATGAGCTCATCTACTTTTGTGATACTTGCGGCAATGTTGACCAAAATTTGTTGTTTTTCCTGCAATCCACAACAATTCAATTAGTTGAAACACTTTGCCCTAAAGGGCCACTTTAACATGTTGCCAATTTAAAAAACAGAATATAAGGCTTTCCCTCCCCACCCCCTCTATGCAATATTGTGCTGCTGTTCAAGCTACCCACAAACACCACAACTTTAACTGGAGGGGAGAAGGGAGGGGTGTGGATTATTTTGTTCTCCAAAGTCTCAACAATTTTATTGTCAAATAAAGCCCCTACAATCATTATTAAGGTTTCTCGGGCAGCTTTTAAGGCATGAGCGTGCATGCAGCTTGACTCCCACAACCCAGCTCAGATCCCCAATAACACCACTGTACAGGCTAGTTTCCCACCCAACAAGTAAATCAGCATAAGAGTCGTTATGAAGCTAAGCGCATGACAGGTGAAAAAGGCAAAGAGAAGCAAGATGAGTGATGCAACGATTTCGATTTCGTTTCTGAGAGTATCAATGGGGTGGTAGCTTTGATGGTTGACTGTTACTTTTTTCAATTTTGACGGTGGACAGCCCTTTATGAAATTTTGAACATCTTCAGATTTAAGCAAGTTGCAAGGTCTTGTAATGTTTAGATAGAGTGCGAAGAAGAAATACTGGGGCAATTTGTAAAAGGAAAAATGAGCTGTGCCCTACATAAGATAAGATGCAAACTCCTCATGTCCACTGATCATGATGTAAGACATGTCTTATTTTTTGTTCTATAAATGACCCTAATAATAATAATTTTTACCTTCATTTTCCTTGTCCTCTATTTTTCTTTGATCTTTTACTGACATGTCCTTGACTAGATCTTTTGGCATGACTGGGATTTCGATGTTTTCCTCTCTCTTATCTTTATCCCTCTCTTCAAAGGGATTATAATCATGTAAAGGAAAATGCTGTGGGATTCTTCTTTCGTCAAAGTCGCCGAGACCTATTTTAGTCCTTGAATCCAATTCAAATCCAGCAAGGTGTCTGTCTTTTTCGGTATAATAAAGTTTTTCAACCGCTTTTAGAGTTTTCTTGTGTTCATTTTTCAAAGCCAACAAATGCTGGTAAAAGTGTTCTTCGTCAACATCGTCTAGCTCCCGTAGAGACTCCGACAACGACTCCCTAACTGACAGTTTCGGCTTATGACCTTTGTGGTGTCTTTTGTGACTACGCGAAGATGAAGGCCTGTTATCACCATTCACTTCCAAACCATAGTTTGCTGGTGGTTCAGCTTCTAAACTAGTTCTTGTTCTTTCATTCGTCGTGGCAGGTAGCTCTGTTCTGGGATGTCTTGGCGCTTTATAACAGAGATTTCTCATAACTGCCCCTCCATGACCAGACGCCATATTGAACTGAACTCATAACAACCGCTGTGTTTTGTCTTGACAACCAAGACAAATGACTTTCTTCCCAGGGTAGGGTGGCAAGAACCTTATGACCTGACCCACACTGGTTAAGTTATGGAGGCTCAAGAAAACTTTTAGGAAGAATTATAGAAGAAAAATATTTTCTGTGTAAACTAGTGTTTTCTACTTATGAAAATTCTCTATAAATTTGTGATATTGTAGAATATAAGATCTTTTTGTACCCCTCCTCCCTGGGAAGAAGAGTTTGGAGCACGAAAGCCTCGTTTCATTGTTGTCGTTCCCATTCCCTTTGTGATAGCTACGGTCTCTAGAATTCAAAATGTCGGAGGCGGCGTTGTACGTGTTTAGTCTCATCGATGGAGCGTGCTTATTATTTCTCACTGTATATTTTGTATCCTTCCATCAACTTATTAACTTTAATAACTTAGCCACTTTTTTATCTTTCATTCGCTTAAAAGTGGAGATGCGCCGTAAATTTAGCCTAACACTTTGCGTGTAAAGAAAAAAAAGTATAAAAAATGAGCCAAGTCGACCTAAACAAACACTTCCACACTGCAAAATTGTTACTTAGAAATTATCATGAATATGATTGCTGTCAATATTTTTCATATAATTATTTATTTCATACACATTTACGAGTGAATTTTTCGTAGGCAAAAAAAGGTTATATATATCTGAGCTTTATTTGTCTTGTGTAAATTCCTTGACATGCAATTTGTGCAAAATAATCAGATCATTAATTTATCGGATTTAGAGTGCGACTACATCAATGCGACTACATGCTGTCGAAGACTTAACGTGGTAGGTGTTTAACAAGACTTATTGAACCTGGGCTTTTTCTAAAAATCATACACCCTATCTGACATCTAACCACACCCAGTTAAGATACAAGTCTTAATTTAAGTGCCAGAGACAAAAATATTCTATAGATTGCTATTTTCCAGGGTATACCGTTTAATTCAGTAAATAATTACACCATTACTGGTGAAATCCCTGAAATATCTTTAAATTCCTACTTTTTTGTGTTCTGTTAATCAAGAGGGATTGCATTTACCAACACAAGGATAAATTCTGTGTAGCCAATCCAATACAAGATCACTCCACTTTTTTCGGTTGAGCTACAGTAAAATGGGAAACTAAAACCTGCAACTTGTTTTGAAGCATTGCTGTGAAATGAGTTGAAGGGCGATGTTGTACATTTAACCACCCACATTCAAACCTGTCTTCAAAAAATCAGGTTGCTGCAAGGTGCGTGAATACTGTCCTCTGAGTGGATAAAATTATGCTGTAGTCATTCCTTACTTGGGAGTTATGTCAATTGTTGCAGCAGCATGTACAGAGCTAACTCTCTACATTCTGCAACAAATTTTCACAACCTACAGCAACCTCATTTGTTGCAAGACAATTCCTGGCCAGAAGGGTGTCCAGCCGTCCCATGGACACCCTTTTTTGGAAGGAATACAAGGAAATTCACTTAATCTCTTATAATTTAATGGGAAACATGCCTTCTGGGTGCCCAGTTTTCAATGTCTGGCTAAAAGCCTGTTCCTGGGAGGTAAAATGTGCCACATTGCTATTCAACTTATTTAGCAGCAACATTGCTAAATAGTTTCCCCCTTTTCACCCTACCCGTAAATTCACTTGACACAGTCCAGTGATTGCATGTGATACACTTGGAACACTGTTCTTAATTTGTAAACATTGTGCTTGAAAAGTATGGTACAGACAATAGTGAAGTTAGCTCCTTTTGCATTCAGATTTGTTCTGGGTCCTTGATGACATTGTTTTTATTTTCAGTGGATTCTACCAGAAATGGTTGCTCATGGAGTTATAACTGTACTTCTCCTCGTCCATTTCCAGTGGATATTTTTCTTAATCAATGCTCCTTTATCAGGGTGGCTTATTTATAGGTGGGTCTAATTTCATGTTACATTAGAAATTTGCTTTGCTGAAGATGCAACAGTAATTTGTACTACACTGTTTTTCCTTAACAAATGCAACTCAGAATTTTTATTGCTCAGAGAGTACTGCGTGATGCAGTTAATTTCTGTGTTTTTTTAACATATTAATGTGGCTTTAAGAAGCAATATTGTTATGTCAGCCCAGAAATTACCTGCTCATCACTAGAGTTCTTAGTAGATCATTGGTTGGAGCATCCCACTAGTGTCTGGAAGGTTGTGGGTTCAATTCTGAGTCTTTCTCTCCACACATATCTTTCTATCTATAATTTAAATGTAGTTAAGTGATCCAAAGTGATTTACTTGCCAGTACCAACAATAACATTATTGGAAATCACATCATTCCTTGAACAACCCCCTTTTGCCTCTCCTTTATGCCAAATATAAAGCAAGTGCGTTTTTGAGGCAGAGAATAAAACTTTATAGCTTGAGGAGGCAGGGCAGGGGGAGTGGTGTAGGTGTCTTGTGAATCTGTGTTCACTGTTTCACAAAAACCAACTACGATCAGTGACAGGCTTATTTTAGACACCTTGTCCTCAATAGTATTTTTCTCTCCCTTTACTGACACTCAAACTACATGTAACTTCAAAAAGGAAAATGCCACCTTCCTTCCCCCACTTTCTCACATCCCCATTCTTGCTAAAATTATTGTTATCCCACTGTTCAAGTTACTTGACTGTAGGAAACCAAAAAACAAGCCACACTATTAAGAGGTCCGAGCTGATATTTGACAAAGATATATATATATTTCTATCAATTAAATTCTTCTTTGTTTATTTTGTTAGATTTGTTAATAAACCAGCTGGAAATGTTGGGTTGTATGACCCAGCAGAGATTCATAACAGGCATGAATTAAAGGGGTTTCTCAAAGAAGCTATGATCAAACTTGGATTTCATCTTGTATTCTTTTTCCTTTATCTTTACAGGTAGGGGTTTTATTTTCTGCTTTTTTGAGATGTTTATTGGCTGGGGCGAAGGGTTGCCAAACATTTTGTTCAAGGTTGGGATTTAAGTGGTTTAAGAATCAAGAGGCCATCAAGCCCATGACTGTAAATCCAATGAAAAAATATGAGGCTTCATAATGGTTATGTTGTAGTTAGTTTTTTACCTCAGGTTACTTGTGTTTTTCTTTTGTTTTTGGGTATGGTAATGCAGAGATGTCGCTAAGGGCCGGGTGCCGGCTAATTTCACTGGCTGAAAAAGAGCTTGTCACTAGTTCAAATTGCTCTGGAAAACAAAGACAAGGGGTAATTTTGATTATGATGCAGTTGGGTAAAAAAGCCGACCATGTACAGAGATCACTTTCTTATTACTCTATTCAAGCATATTTTTTGGGCATGGTATGTCCTCACAAATAACATGTTGATGTTTGAGCGAAGAAAGAGTTGCTAAATGTGACCTTGTCAGAATGTTAGAATAAGTGAAGATTCAATTCATTGGATAGAAAAATGGCTATCATGCAGGCAGGTTTTTAGATTGGTTCCATGAAATTTGGTAGTCAGCTCATGTGTGTAATATTATTTTATACATCCATATATGTTCTTAATCTATTTTATCCTTATTTTCTAACAGCTATATATTCAGGAAAAAATCTGTTTGAACTTTATTTCAGTATGATTGCTGCCCTGTTAGCTGAGAGTGGCTCAGCCAAGTCAAAAAGTTGAAGGACCTTGATCTCGACACATTAGGACTTCTGAAAAACAAAGCTTGCCATTTCAGTAACAGAAAAAGCTGTCAAGATTCATTTTTAACAACAAAGAATTCCAGGTCATAGTACAAAACTCTGCCCTGAAATGCTTGCATAGCTCTTTGTGTAGTACGTCAGTTAACATAGAGTGATGTTCGAGAAACTCTCTTGGGAAGTTAGCCATTTGACCTTCAAAGTCAGGAGCACATTTTGGGGGTGGGGGTGGGGGTAGGGGTGTGCAGTAGCTAGAGAGTTCAAAGCAATAAACCTTCCATACGATTTTATGGATATTTTCTGTGGTAATGTGTTTTATGACTTTATGTGGACTCTTGAGTCTAAGAAGGAAATTGTGCGGTTTTGCCATGAACTTTTGCAGAACTTTTGTATAACACGAGTCTTTTTGTTTGCAAAAATATGGAATACTGTGGAGTTGTCTTCTAATATTTTTTGTAGGATTTTTTATTCAATTTCTTGCCTTCCCTGAGAAACACAATTAAATTTTGGAGTCCTCTTTGCCCCAAATACTCCAATGATCGATCTTTTTATGCACAAGGTATGGATAGTTATAACGATGTACATTGTAAATTTCATAGTTCATTTTTATCTTTGGTTCAGTTTTCATTGTACTTTTCTTTTTGTATTTAGCAAGGTATGGTGGTATCAGGATAAAGGCAAACAAAATTTGAACCATGGATTAGTAAATGTTTTGATAACTACGGGAAATTTTGTGTATCTTTGGTAAATGGGGTTGTAACTCTCCGGATGAGACTCTTGTAATGCAGCAACTCAGTTCTTTAAGTAAATTTTGTGCTTTTAGCAATATTATGAATGTATCGTGGTAGACTTTCATACAAGGCATCAGTATTGTGAAAATCTATCTTGTAGAAGCAAAGTTAATGCAGGTACCGTGTTAATGTTGCCTTGATATGAAAATGCCTCAATCTGTATAGCTTTTATTCCTTTGTTCCAGTTTTAAAGGCCCACCTTTATGAAAGAGGCTTTGCAGATCTTTTTTATTTTTGAAAGCTTGCATTGTGCACTGATGCAAATTATTATTCAATTACCTGGTTGTCCGTTAAGGGAAAGTTGTTCCACAGCACTGAATGCTTTAAGGTGAAGGAATCATAGTGTGCCTTTAATAACTGGGACCATGAAAATCAAACTATTTCCAAATCATTTTATGACACTTTGTTATGATACTGCAGAAACCTTTAACCATACCTTAACAAAATCGTTATTTATACTAAAAAAATAATAACTAAAGTACAGTCATTGGCAACAAATATCAAAATAAATTTATTAATGCTTGGATACACAAATAAATATGTGTTGCTTTGTTAATTAAAAATGCAACAGGAAATTTCAAAAAATCTAGGGTGCTTACCATTTGCACAAACCAATTCAAATAATTAAAGCCACAACGTACTAGTATATCCAAATAAACTGGAGAGACTAAAAAGTGTAGAAAAAATGTATTGTCCCCAGAGACAGCCCATTAACCAATGTAGTTGGAGGAACTAAAAGGTGGGTGCTTTAGATATTTCGTGGCAGAGTTGCGTGAAGATTGGGATTGCTGCTTTGCTGTTCACTGCGCGTGATGGCTCCACTGCCATGAAAGTACCTGAGGCATAACAATCCCCCACCAGCTACTCAGGCTAACAGACAGTATTTTAAGAAGCTTATCCCAGACCAAATGTTACAAACCATTTGATTTTCTTTTTTTGCGATTTCCCGTCTCTCCCATGTAACTGGTACTAAGCATCCTCTGACATTTAAAAGATGAAAAAGCTTACCCACATAACAGTAGTATAATAACTATCTTATAAAAACAGTACACATTTGCTCAGACATTTTGTAACATAACATTGCGAAGTTAATTAATTTTGCTAATCCACAGAATGTAAAATTGAAAAAAATTTGAAAGGAATTGAACCAGGCCACTAGATGACTTTTGACTCTATGAAATTTGTTGTTGTTGTCTTTTGCAAATACAAGGCAACTTGTTGGTGAGTCACTTACAGCCTTTTGGGCCTATATATTAGCCAACAGTGGCCGATCCAGGGGAGGCCTGGGCCCCCTCCTTTATTTTAGACCAAACTGAGGCCCGAAGGGCGGAAAAATTTTTTTGGAGACCAGGCCCTCCCCCTTATCTCAGGGTCTGGATGACCACTCCCCCCCCCCCCCCCACTGTCTGAAGGTCTGGCTCTGCCACTGGTTAATGTATGGATAAGTGTTCCTAGGGTATAGGGATAGGGCTACTGCAGTAAATTATAGAAGAGCTTTTTTAGCTTTCTCCACAAAAATGAAGCCTATAAATTTGACCTTGATTGGCTAGTACAACTGCTATGTATGAAATGAATGAAATGGGAGTACTGGTACACGTAAACATATTTTACGCTATCTCATTGAATTAATAATTCTTTATTTCTTTACCTAACACTGTAACTTAATTGCCATAGGCTTTTTTTCTTGCAATTTCCAGAGCTCCAGTGATCCCTACTGAATTACCAAATACACTTTCACAGATGTAGCTTTCCAGCCCCTGTTCAGTTTTGAATTTCTCAATATTGAGATACCCTTTGTTTAGCTCCTTGAACCATCTACGCGCTTTACTGTAGAGAATTTTGCGTTTCATCACGCCACCTCCCAAGACAATCACATGAGGGGATATCAGATAGGTGATGTTGAGGCACAGGACACCCAGGTAGTAACCAACTTTCTCCCAGACATCATGATCATCCGAAAGTGTGTGTAACTCGGTTTTCTCGACCCCTGCTCGCTCTGCGATTGCTTTAGAATGCACCATTCCCTCCACGCAGTAACCGTGATTAAACGCGCATCCCCCTTTGTAGGTATCGCCGGGAATGGGAGGTATCATCATATGGCCCCCCTCGGGATGAAGTAGCCCATGGATGGGTGCACCGTCGACCACAGCCCCCACCCCGACTCCGGTTCCCACAGTGATGTAAGCTAGCGATGAAGGCCCGGGTGGATGAGCGCACTGCCGTTGGGCCATCTCCGCCATGGCTGGAGCATTGACGTCCGTTTCGAAAGCAATGGCTGTGAAGTCGCCAAATTCACGTTTAAAAAATCCTAGGACTTCAGCATTTCTCCAAGCTTCTTTGGGTGTCGAGGTTATGTATCCATAGGTTTCGGAATCCTCGTGAAGGTCAACTGGTCCAAACGACGCGATTCCGATCGCGCGGAAAGACGCAATGTTCAAACTCGCAAGCTTTGCTTTGAGAAATTTAGCTAACTGCGGCAGTGTTTCTTGGGGAAATGTCGTTTTTGCCTCAAAAGATTCAACTATGGTCGTGGGTTGGCTTAACTCGGCAATCGCCGCAAGACAAGTCGTCCCTCCAAGTTCTACGCCAGCGATGTAGCTCGACTCCATTATTCTTAGCTTCACACTAAAATTGTACTTATTCCAAAAGTGCGTTTTTATAAGGTCAGTAGGTAGGTAGGATAACTGTGATTGCGTGAAAGTCACATGCACAAGACTGGCAAGTCACGTCTAACACTAACGAAAGTACCGGATTGCGTGAAGATTTCCGTGTTTCCTGAACAATCATGAGTTAATCAATAACCCCGAACCCCAGAACCTTGCACGCGCGGACAGGCAGTCTGAGACTTCCAGACAAAAAAGAAATTTGCATACGTTAAAGTATAGCTTCTTTTGTCTTCACAAACATGGCGCCAACTCCAGCAACCTACGGATCTTGGAAAAGCCCGATAACGGTCGATGTAGTGGTGAATCAATCGATTTCATTTAAGCAAGTCAAAGTAGATCCTTTTCAGGAAGGTAGGAGTTTGCGAAATCTTTTTAAAACAAATAAGTTCGGTCATGTTTTTGTTTTCATTCTTAGCACATGCTGCATGAGGTAGGCGCACATGCATGTTGAGTTCAGTGTTCGTTGTACTCGGCAAATTGGGAGGAACAAAAGGGGTCTGTAGCCTCCAATCTTTCCTCCTTTCTCGGAGAGGTTGTGTGCATCGACTCCGTGATTCTGTTCTGGTCTTGGCAAAAGCGAGCATTCTTCCGGAGTTTCCGCCATTGCGATTTTGAGGCGCAAACCCGCATGCTGGAATTTTTTTTTTCATCACGCTTGAAAGGTTCAAAGTTGCCTGGAACATATAAGAGAGTGCCATGCAGGCTAAATATCTCGCAATTCATGTATGTGTCAGGTGCCAAATTAATCATTTTGATTCATGAAGAGGGGAGGGAGAAGATTTGAGCGATGCAAAAGAAACTAATAATTTTATTAAGAGTCAGGACACAGTACCCCACTGCCAACAGCTCTTAACCTTGATCCGTTCAATAAAATGAGCCCTTAACCTCAATCACTGAAAGTCAACCATGCATAATTCTGCAAACATTCCAGCCGCGAACCCTCATTTTCCCATAGTGAACTTAACAGGAAACATATTTTTCTTGTATTTGTAATTTCATAAAACTTCTTGTTTTTCCCATGGCTCGCACGACTCATATGCTGCTCGCTGGCTTGCAGATTGTCCAGCACCCTTTATTAAGACGCTGCTGGGGTTAGAGGTCGAGTGGAGGGGGCTCTTGTATTGCTTTTCTGGGTTTTAAAATCCTCTGTGTCTTTTTATGCTAAAGTTCATTTTCCTGTTAAGAAATAAATGGCCTCACATGTACAGCAGAGGGTGTTAACATTTTAACCTCTGCAACAGAGGTAGCAGGTTCAATACCCAGCATTGCCCATGTCTTTTTCAACAAATATAATTCCTTTATTTGGTACAGCAGAACTAACTTATAACAAAGTATAGATTATTTGTTGCCAGTAATCAAGCATACATGTATACCTGTTTCAGTGGGGGTAAACTGTGCAATGCTATTAAAGAAGAGCTAAAAATAGCGAGTCGTTTTCGCTTTAAAAAGCTTTTAAAAGAATCTGTCATCTCCAAATATTGATTGGTGTTCTTTATATGCAGCTAATTGTGTGCACAGCCCTTTTTTTGTCGTGCTTCTTTGTTTATTCGTTTGTGATTTTGTCATTTATTACATCTTAAAATTTTTTCTTTGTGAGTTTTTGTGTGCATTTGTTTATATATAACAACTTTGATATCTAGTTACTTTTCTGCATGGCCCAGCCACTCAGCGCAATTAACTTTTGCTATTTCTGAGTGGCTGTGCTCTCTTTCTTTCACAATATTATTATTTAACAGTTAATGAATGAGGCTGAGTATCTTATGAAGAAGGAGAGGTGGGAGAGGAGGGTGTTACTACAGCCTTGACGGATAACACCCTCTGAGATCTCCATAATTCTTCATATGATACGAAAGCCAAATTCAATAACTGTTTTATTATTCATTCAAAAGAATTCCTAGTTTAAAAACATAGCTAAAACATGCTTACCTCCATCGATGTTCAGTTCATCTTCGATGGTGTACGTTTAGGTTTGTCCAGCTCCGCAAATATTCTCCAAATAGCAGATGTCTCCCTTCGAGTTGTCTTCTTGCTGTTCTTGCCATGTTTTTAGCTATTTTTTCGCCTAGTTCTTACTCTTGAAACGAGTGAAATGTCCGCCATTTTTTAAGTTCACAACCAAAACAGCTCAACCTCGTCCCCAGGTTCTTCTCGGTTCTTGTTGTGGACTATATGTTGTTGTCTGTTATAAAAACAACAAGCTGACAACCTTCATTTTTTATGTGCTATTGTTTTTTGGGTAAGCCTCCCATGCAGCCATTCTTCACTTTTTCCTTCCCCACAAACCTTTGCTGAATTGAAATAGATGGCATAATAATTTAATAAAGAAATGCTTTTCTTAGTCAAAATAATTCTCTGGATCTGGTCAAACCCCAGACTGATTGCTATCATCCCTGACAGTGAAGTTTTAATTTTGATAAGTCAACAACTATTGTCGATCATTACAAATGCCTGGGTTGCTTTCTGTAGAGTAAAGAAATGTTCATGACTTCGATAACCATAACCATGCATAACTGCAAATAAATAAGGCGTTGTCTTTGATTTCATGTTTTCCTCAGCTGGCAAAACATGGGATGGCCCCAATCACCCAGGATTTTCTTGACTTGTGCTAACTTGGCTTAATGCTCCTTAACTTGCGCCAAAGACGTACAAAAAACAAAACAGTGCTGAAATCCTTGTTTTGGGCGCCACCTGAGTACCAGGATTTGATTGGACTGTGAAATAAGCTATTGTCCATTTGCCAGTCAGGTTGAAGGGAAATTTGAAAGACCTAGAACAAGGATGTCAGCATTGCTTCACAGACACTACTAACCAGGGAGGGGTATGTCTGTGACACAGGCCAAAGGCTCCTGTGACACCTCAGTTTATTAAGAAGCTTTTCTTCATGACATTTTTTTTTTCACCTTTTTCCTATTCAGACAAAGTGTTCTGGTCTGAAATGTCACCTGATAAAGGTGGACGATATATCATTCATTCTTGGACTGAGGGAGAAGACGTCCAGGAATTAACTCCAGAGAACTACAGTGCCCGAACGACTGTGCATGAATATGGAGGAGGTGCCTTCTTTGTACACAAGCGTCGTATTTACTTCTCCAACTTTGAAGATCAACGGCTTTATTGTCAAAAGTTAAAGAAAGGGGTTCAAGAACCAATTCCTCTTACACCTAAAGGAAAAGATTGGAGGTATGCTGACGGTACCATGTACAAGAAGCATATTGTAGTTTGTGTACGTGAAGATCATGAAGTGATTGGTGGAGATGTAAAGGAGGCTGAAAACACACTGGTATCTATCAATCGCAAGACCAAGGAACAGTCTGTGTTGGTAAGTTATTTGGAATGATTGAAAGCTCTTAAGAATAAAAAATTAGCAAAAAGAAATTTAATTTGATTCACAGATTGAGATCTCAAGATTCATTTCTTTGGCTCCTGGGCAACCAAAAAATCTTAGCTTTTTTCATAGAAATCATATGCTGGGCAGGTGGTTAAGGTTGTCCCAGGATTAAGCCAAATTTTGAGCAGGGTTTTCTTGGCTAAAAATCATGGATTAGCACTAATTGGCCTTTCAGGAAATGGGCCCTGGGTGCCCTAGATTTCACAGGTTCAGAATACTGGGTTCCCTTCAATTTTTCTCAGAGCACATCCTTGATCTGATTTCTGTAATTGGCAGGTATCAGGAGCAAACTTTTATTCCACTCCAAGGATTTCAAAGCATGGCACCTTGGCTTGGATTGAGTGGGACCATCCTAACATGGTAAGCATGGGTTATAAATTTCTTTATTCTCCAGTTATGATCCCCACTAGCAGAGGTCTTTCATGAGAGAAAGAAGAGATAGACCTCTGCTGGTCCCTGATGCATTCTTAAAGCCGACCAGATTTGTTGTCAAAACTGACTGGTTTTCAAAACCTGAGTTTTGTTTATGTGGAATGCATGTGTCCTGTTGAATCTGAGTGTCGGAAATTTTGTGCTGAATAAGACAAACTAACTCGAAGTTTTTGCATTGAATAAGACAGTTTAAGATGGAATCCACCAGGAAACTGAGTAATTTTAATTCTCAGGGGATGAAAACCTTGTACCAGAATTATTTAAAGAATATTGCATTCTTTTTTACATTCTTCAAGGGCTAAAGATATAATTATCAGTCGTCTGTAGTAACACCAAAGAAAATCTCTAATGGGAGTCCGAGAAAATGAATGTCAAATTACACAAGAATTGTCAAAACACAGGTAAAATTCTGAAAATTTCATTTGTCAGATGTATAATTTTGTGAAATTTGACATGCATTTTCTGGGACTCCCATTAGAGATTTTCTTTGGTGTTATTGCAGATGACTAATCATCTTTAGCCCTTGAAAAATGTAAACATGAATGCAATATACTTTAAATTATTTTGGTACAAGGTTTTTGTCCACTGAGAATTAAAATTACTCAATTTCCTGGTGGATTTTGTCTTAATTCATAATATTTTGACGCTAGTTCTGGATTGGTTACTTGAGAGCACTAAAACCTCTAAATATTGGCTTGTTGTACTTGTTTTGATCTTTGCTTTTTATTTGATTTCTTTCCTCAGCCATGGGATAGCACTGAACTCTGGATAGGAGAGTTGTCACATGATGGAAATTCCCTCAAAGATGGAACCAAACGAAAGGTAATACTGTAGAATTATGTGTGCAGGGAGATTTAAATAGATGTGCAGTGGTCATCTTTCTGGGGGAGAAAGATAGTGAGGAAACTAGCATTTATAAGACCAAAATTAAAGTCAGGCACAATGCAATACAAGGTCAATTTGAACACATTACAAGAAATCTGTAATACAAAGAACCTGTGAGAACTGTCAGAGATTGTGAAGGTAATTTGAAAACTGAGCTTCAGCGCCTTAGAATATAGGTGAATATTGGTCAAAGGTAAGAGTCATACTGCATTAACAGTGAGTAAGAATACATAAAAATGTGTCACAGTTTATATTTAGATGGCTTTTTCTTTAGCTTGCACTCATCTGCATAATGAGAAGCTGAAAAATCAGGAAATGACCAATAATATTATTAACAGGAAAAATATTGAATATTGACCCCAATATTGACCCCAATGATAAGAACCCAGCTAACTCGCACTATTTTCGCTTCCCTTCAGGGTTCCATACCCCACTTTGCAGATACCTCATTATTACAGCCAGTTTGCTTTCTCCCTGGGGAAAGAAAGCCCTTTCATTTTCTTTAAATTCAACCTGCTAAATTTGGACACTTTCTATAGCGCCCTCAGTGTCCCTGTTAACAAGGTTTGGGTGAATTTACAAAGCTCAGAACCAGTAATTGATAAATAAAGGGAAACAAATTTATTAATGGCTGTAAAACTTAACATGTGTTGGCCACAAATTATTATTATATGACATCAAGTAGTTTGTCAAAATGTCTCTTTAGTTTTTTGTCAGTTATGTACTTTAGTTATCTCTCAGGTTCTCACAAAGAATATCAGGGGTTGGGACTAACAGTGGCTGGGGACCTGTTTAACTTTTTGCCCCCTCTTCTCCCCTGCCGCCCTCCCCCTGCCCCCACACAATGGGGGCTAAAATAAGGCTGGGATAAACTGAAGGGAACTGCTGTCTTCTCCTTCCAATCTACCTATGACGTGAATCACAGGGAATTTATCATTAAAACAGGACCCATTTAGGGCCTTATTTAATGCATCACTTCAAATTATTTGTTTAAAATACATTATTACATTTTTTTTCGGTACTGTTTTAAGTGTCGATAACAGTTAAAAAGGCATACAAGCCCCATGCAAAAAACAGTGGGAAGGAAGTGCACATAGGCGATGGGGAAAAAGGACTAGCCCACAGTTATTTAGGGGTGGATCTTTGGAAACATTCTTATACTCTTGGACAGATATGCATTGTTTAAAGTTTTAGACAAACCAGGTGTAAATTTATAGTAACAAACTGTTAAATATACATCAGCAAGATTTTTGCGTATCCTATTTTTCGCTGGAGGCTATCGTTTACTGGCTGGTCACGCAATCAAAGGTAACGTACTTTCCCACGTTTGTTTACTGACCTTTCGCTCGGCAATACACCGCGTTCCACAAAGGATCCAAATTGCGCGAGAAATGTTTTGCTATTTGGCCCACGTTTTTGTCTCAGGTAAGATCGCAGGTGGTGAAGGCATCAGTGTCATGCTTCCAAAGTGGTCACCAGATGATAAACTGCTGTATATTCATGACACAACAAACTGGTGGAACCTTTACAAACTAGATGATCAAGACAATGAGATCAGTGTTTATCCCAAGGATGAAGAGATCGGTGGACCTGCCTGGCAATTTGGAGGCAGTCCTTATTCATGTAATCCTGATGGCAATGGAGAAATGTTGTTTATTTATGGCTCGGTATGGTTTGTCTTGTCAGAAATAATATTATGATCAATTCTGTACCACTCCCTGTAGTTATTATTACAAAATGATAGTCCTATTGGCATTCATTGCATTGCAATAATTATCTTGAAATTTGCTTAAAATAAAACATTTCCCTGTATGTACATGTATCATTTATAAGTGTTCCAAAAATTATGGACGAGAGATTTGCCATAAAACGTTTTTGTATGAAAGTGAACCTGATGAACAACCTAAGTGGCTGAAAAAGAACCTAAAAAAAATCCAGACTTGACCAGGAATCAACCCTGACCTTCGGCGTGATGATCAGATGCAACACTCTGTCCTTTTAGCAAATCAAGCTAACTGGAGAGCAGGTCATTGTGTTTTGTGTATTTTTCCAGAATATGATCAGTTGAATGCACGGTAAATGACACTTCCTTTAAAACATACAACTATCAATGCATCTTTTGCCAGCAAGTCAGTCAGTGAAATTCAAGCTCAGTTAACTAGTGGTCTAACTAACGTCCTAAGCTGGCTTCACGCTAATTTTCTAATACTTAATCCTGAAAATCTTTAGACCTGGCCGGTTTCAGGCTATCAGTACTCTACTTACACACACTCAAGTCCTAATCACATTCACCATTTATTGCTAAATCAAGGAACTTATATGCATATTAGTAGCTAAATCATATGTGGGAAAATATGGAACGGAATGCATGTGGTTTCCTTTCTAGTAAACACCCTAATTGAATGAAAGCTTAAAGCACTATTACACCTACATTACTTACGAAAATCCGGAACAGCTATGTTTGAATAATAATCCCATCCTACACAAAAATCCTACCAGTTAAAAGGGTGTAGCTTTTACTCTATTCCGATCGGAAAACACATCTAACTATTTGCTTTACACGATGCACATTTTTGCACGCTTGCTTACACAATAGGGATCATATTTCCGGTTCCTATCAAGCTAGTAATTGATCTATTGTTCTTTTGAGATTAACAAGTCACGATTCATTGTACAAAGTGTCACGAATTCTTTAACTTCACTACAATACTATAGTCTTGCCATTGTTCGATTACTGTTCGCCTGTCTGGGACAGTTGTGGGGTTGGGAACTTAGCTTATCTAGATAAGCTAAATAGATGCACCACATGTATTATCGAAGGTTGATCTGTTGGGGCTGAGGAGTTAAAATCAACTCTTGGCTGGCCCAAGCATGCAGAAACTAGTAGAGATGCTCAGCGAATTTCAAATCAAGCTAAAGTGTCATTTTAAACAGTAACGCTCACTGTACATGTTGCCTTCGTAACTTAATTAATTTTTTAATTTTAATGTTTTAATGTCTTTGTTTTTGTGTTTTGTCAGGGCTCCATTTAAACTAGTTCTGCTAAATTGGATGCCCCTGGATAAAGATTGATTTTAAAAAAAATCTTACTTTGCCGCTCATCTACTTCCTTCCATGTCATAATTAAATCAAAAAGTAATAATATTAGATGGATATAATTAACAATTATTCCACGAGGGCGCGTTGGATATGAGATGATAGATAGCCAACGAGGCGCATAGCGCCGAGTTGGCTATAATCATTTCATATCCAACAAGCCCGAGTGGAATAATTGTTTTATTAAAAACGCCCACAAAATCTCGTTGAATCGCCCCGACTAGAACAAACCGGAAAAGACAAGGGACTTCCGCTATTGACATTTCACACGTCTATCAAAACTGTCAACGCGCGAACCGGGCTCGCCTAGACTGCATGAATGAAAAATCAAAACATTGTGCGATGAACATTAGTTTTTTAAAAACTCATCGTGATTCTAGGATTTTACACAGCAGAACAGCTTAAAAAACCTGGCAGATAATGTGAAGGAAAGGAATTTTTAAGTAACAGCCGTCGAAATTACTGTGAATTTGGATTTTCGGTGCAGCTATAAAAGTAAGAACAACGGAGAAAAACTACCGGTATTACCTCGGTCGCTTGTTATGAAGTTGTTTGAAGCCACAAGCTGGTTTTGCTGAACGAGAAAAGAAGCTATACTGCCGCCTCGATTGCTCTAGTGAATGGCAGCATAGCCTGTATTTGTAGCTGGTTACTTGTGATTTATATTCTTGATGTCGGATAAACAAGCTGCAGTTATCTATCGGCGAGTGACTCAATCGGCGAATGGCTTCGCGATCATGAAGAAACAACAATTGTCTTCTTTCGTAGCTGGTCAAGGTACTTTAGTTCCATGAGTGTTCATGTGTTTTTCGACAAACTTTCAAACAAGCTCTTGTGGCTTTTTTGTTTGTTTTTGTCTTTTTTCTTTCGTTGAAATTGCATTTCCAGTATTCTAAGAAATGAATTAAAACGATTTGCTTCGGGCGCCGTTCTATCCTTCGCGAAAAAAATGTCAGCTAGCTTCCAATTTTAAACTGACGCGAACACCGACCATATATGGAGAACATGGTATATTAGCTCATATACCATAACGGCTAAGCCAATCAAAATGCTAGAATTGCATTATCCAATGATTCAGTTTTTAATAATAATATTTATTTTTTCCATATTTCTTTTGTTCAGACCATCACATGTCTTAAACATTCTGGTGAACATCAAGATATTAAGCTGGAGAAAGATTACAAGTCTTTCACCTTTCTGCATTATGATCCAAATGGAAAACATGCCTACATGGTAGCTGGAAGCCCCAGTCTCTTTACAGCACTTATTAAACTGAATGTCAAGACTGGTAAAACAACAGTAGTAAGAACTTCGCATCCATCAACAGACGATATTGATCCAGGATACTTAAGCGCTGATCCTAAGAAGGTGTCATGGGATACCACCCTTGGTGCTAAAGCTCATGGTTATTATTATCCACCTCAGGTTGGTTGATTTATTTCATTCTATTTTCCCCCACTTACTTCTTTTAACAGATCTCCTAAAATAAAATAATAGCACGATTTTATAACAACAAACAATAGTCCAAACTCAAATTCTTCTTCAAAGTAATTTGATATTGGAATCATTGTGCAGAGCTTCTAAAACTCATTTGTTTTATTATTTATTTTTGTCAGCTTTATTGGTCTAAATCTCTCTCTTAATGATATAAACGAAAAAGGAAAAAGAAAAAAATGTTTCTATTTGTGATTCTAGGGCATAGTATGTATGCTATGCCTATAAAATTTACTGTGGAGAAATCACATGATAATTTTGCCAAACACAGTCCTTTCTTTGTTTATTTATAACCTGGAAATTTGACATCTTTTTGAATGCTGTATTGAGTCTATCAGAGGGCATCTACTGCCTTCATCATCAGTGGTTGTGAGACAACTGATAATGATTGACATCTTAAAAGTCCTCAGTCGTTGTCCGTGGTCATGAGGTGGTAAATAATGTCAATATTGATTAGGAGTCATCATCGTTGGTTGTGAGGTGATGAAAGGCAATGATTGAAAACTAAATAGTCATTGGCAGCCATTGAATGACAATGTGACATGACATGTAATGTGACACTGACATGTATAACATATTCTACAGATTACTATCAACGTCTTACTTTATAACATAACAAAAGTAAATCGCGCGCTCTGATTGGTCAGTTAGCCACTACCATTTGCCCGTGGGTGCACGCTAAGAAACTGAGCTAGCGCGGTAAAATTTAGGCAAATTCAACAAATCTCCTCTCCTGACGGTAAACTACACCGATGAAATGCACAGATGAAAAGTGGAAGGTGAAGAAAATACTAAGCTGTCGTTTTGAAGGAAAAAAGACAAAAGATCAAGCGACAAATTTGCCCTGGATGAATTAATCACTGTTTTCCTCGAGGCTAGAATCGGCTGGAGGAAAATCGAGCGAGCGAAGATTTGAGGTACATTTTGTGTGTTTTTTTATAGAGGAGAAAGTCTGTTTGAAATGTAAATTTATCAATTACCATTGTGTTATTGACTTTTTGGTCAAGCTGATGCTAAATTCAAGCAAATATTTTAGGAAACACACTCAAATTCGAGACAGCTTTGTTGTGAAGTTTTCATCGCATCGATCAACAATTTTAGTTGAGTTTAAACGGGCACATAACGCTAGAATAAGCGAATTTCATTTGAGTACAGAAACATTTGGGTTTTCAAATAAATTTTTCAAAAAATAACTTCTGTGTGTATTATTTTGTTCCTCAGTGTTCATTCATAACAGTCTTTCAAAGAACAGTCGAAAAACAACAGCTTCAGCGCCGGCTGTGTGTCAGCGAATTTCAGTTGACTTTCATAGCTGGATTTCCCTAGACAGATTTCGATACAGAGCTAGTTAATTTCTTTTTAAAATTAGTGTTACCTGTTATTCTAAAGGAATTACTGTCAAATTTTCTCATTTCTACTTAACGTTTATTTCAAAAATTGTCACATAAATAAGCTTGATAATTATTTCATTTATTTAGTTTTAGCTTATTTTTTAGAGTCTTTTTAGTTGGTGTTTATACTTGCAGATATAGTTTTCCCTCAAAGTTTTTACCCAAATATTAAGAGCAAGTAGACAGATGCCATTCACAATAACAACAAAAAACGTTTTGCAATTTACCTGAAGACTGAGAACGGCTGATTCAGCGAAAGAAAAACTCAAAGGCAAGTTTTGGAAAAACATAAAACATGATTTGTTTACGCGCGGGCAGATGGCATCATACATGAACTCCGACCGATGACTCAACTGAAGGCAAATGGAAAACAATGTTTTTCTCTTTTGATTATGTTATAAAAGAAATGGTAAACGTTGCAGCTGTGCAACCATGGAGTTATGGATGCACTTGGGAGGATTGCTAAGCACTCAAGAAGCTAGAGTCGCACTGGGCTATCGCCTCGTGCGACTCTTACGCTTCTTTCATGCTTAGCAACCTCCCGCGTGCATCCATAACTCCATGGTTGCACGCTGCACGTTTACCATTTCTTAATTAGAAAGCTGGTTTACTAACTTAGAGCAAATGCCACTGAATCGTAGCCAACAGTTACCAGCGCCGTACAAACGACTTATTGACGAGATCAAGCAAAACTAACTACGAGAGAACGACTGGAGAACTGACAATTGACTAACAAATTACTGATTACGAGTCTTCATAGCCAATAACATCACGGCCTAACTGACAGACGACTAATAACATCGTGACGTAATTGACCAATCAGATCAATAACCAGAGTATAATACCATCAACTAACATAATACAACTCACTTTGACTCTGAAGATGACTACCACACAGGTTGTCGAAACATCAGTCACTGTCAACAACAACAGTCCTATTGAGGACTACGTTCACCTGGACGATCAAACTCGACCTACTTTTAAGGTGAAGAAGAATTATGAGCACCAAAAAAGTCCTTTCTATGAGATAGCCTGAGCTGTACCACAGACAAACTAAGCCTCAGATTAAACCCATCTGTGAATCAGCAACTAAATCCTAATTCTGAACCCCCATATTTTTGATTGGCTAATCAGTTAAAGGGAAATTTGAGGTGCACCTCCAGTAATTTGTTGATTCTGTTAGTGGTCCAGAACAAAGTTCTTGGTGTTGCTTCACAGTGGTTACAACTAAGGCTAGTAATCAGTCCTTTGTAATAATGATGATGATGATGATTGACAGCCATATGACATTTTGTTATATAAGAACATTATTTTTCTTGTCACTCAGAACAAAGACTTTGAAGGTCCTGAGGGTGAATGTCCTCCTCTTTTGGTGAAGGTTCATGGGGGTCCCACTTCAGCCTGTTCACCATGTCTGGACCTCAAAAAACAGTTCTTCACCTCCAGGGGATTTGCACTTCTTGATGTTGATTACCGTGGCAGCACTGGTTATGGGACAGAGTACAGGAATGCTCTGAAAACATAGTGAGTAAACTTTGTGATTTTCATTTATTCTTTTTAGTGGCAGGTCCATTCAACTCTTCATTAATCCTTTCTTTTACAACCTGGCTTATACAGCAAAAAAGGAGTGCAGAAATTAAATACACTCATATTTTCAAAGTAGTGGTACAGGAAACCACAGATTAGAGAGCTGCATCTGACTCCAGGTCTAGTAACAAGTACCAGCAAGGGACAAAGTAACAGTTTCCAGGCTGAAACATGACCTTGAAAATTATGACCAGTTGACAATGCCCACAATGAATTCCTGTTTTTATGCCTCATTTACACCAAAGTTTGAACATGTAAGAAACCTGCTTAGCTAAACATAGTTTAAATTGTTTCCTTCATTAAAGTTGCTTACTGACATTTGTGTCTTGCAATTTATGTGTCAATTACAGACAATGTTGAAGTTTATTTCAGCTTTGGGTAAATGTCTGTGTTCCAGTTTTTCCTTTTTTGAAACCTGGTTTAACTAAACATCAGTGATTTTGTTACAAATAGTTATGGTGAGTCCTTGGACTAATCTTGTGAAAAATCATGAGTCCCAGTCCAGAACCATTGAGTCCCAGTTCAAAAAACAACGAGTTCTAAATTGAAAAATGCTTGGACCTTTATGTAACTAGGTAGTTAGTTAATCTGAAGACTGACTCGAAACCTCAATGGTTGTCTTTAAACTAGGCTGTTAAGTAAGACTTAAGAGCTGCTAAGTTTTACTTACCCAAAAATGGTGTGTGAAGGCATAAGTAAAATCTCAAGCAACTTTACTTTGCATCTCATGAAAGTCGGAAAGTTGAAACGATTCAAGAAAGCTTCAAGTGACTTGAAGACCATCTTTAAAACCGACTTAGCGCACTTGCGGTTTCTAAGCTTTGAGAAGGGCAAAACATGTCAATCAATCTTAATTATGTTGTGTGGGAAAATAGGCATAAGTAAACCTGAAGTAAAAAAGATAGGTTGTGTGAAGCCTTTTTTTACTTGAAGAATTTAAAATTTACTTGTCTTGAAATATTTCTTAGCATATTAAATATGCTAAATTTTAGGCTCTCGTGTAAAGACTACCAATATCTCAGTTTACTGGAATTAAAATATAGTCCTTCTGTTAAAGCACAAACAAGACTAAAATAAGTGTACACCATTAAACAACAGCCGCACAAGAACAGCCACAGAAATCACATGAACAGGATATTCTACAAAAACATCTTCAGATCACAGGATGCGTGCCATGAATTTTTTTGTGTCTTTGTGGATTTTTGTGTCAGGGACATAGGATGCAGAGGTAACATACTCACTGAAACATGTTTAGTTGGTGTGAATTAATGGGGCATTAGATATTTTCTCCTTTGCCAAGTAAAACTAAGTTTTAACAATATATTTAAAAATGAGTCAACAACAATACCAGCAATGAACATTCGCCTTATCACCTAGTGTTGGTCGTAGACATGGGACACAAGTATGCTGAATGAAAGAAAGCAGGGACCAATTTGAGGTTTCCATTTCAGGGAAGCATCCATCTTTTAGTGGTGTTAGTTAAGAGAGCCAAAGTTTACTGTACTCACGCTTGCATTGTACAATGATACCACATTCTTTCTTGCTGCTTAACGTTTTTGCCCTGCTGTCTTCCACCATTTCTACCATTACAGTATTTAATACACTGTTGTAGAGTTTAACATAATGTCTTGATAGATTGATACACTGTGGGTTACTGATAGCCATTTAAGAAGAGATTAAAAGTAAGGTGGTCCTTAATGAACCTAGCAGTGCTTTGTCCGTTAAAGCCAGTACATTTATGTATAAACCCATTCTAACACTGAACATACTTCTTATAAACAGCTGGGGTCTTCTAGACATTGACGACTGTTACAAAGGGGCGGAGTCTCTGGCAGATCAAGGCAAAGCTGATCGTGGTAAACTGTTCATTGATGGAGGTTCTGCAGGTGGCTTTGCTGCTCTAGCTTCCATTACTTTCCATGGAGATGTGTTCAGTGCTGGAACAAGCTTTTATGGAGTATGCGACCTCACAGCTCTTGCAGCAAGTACCCATAAGTTTGAAAGCCGCTATCTTGATACCCTGATTGGCCCTCTTCCTGGGGCACAGGAAATTTATGATGAAAGATCACCAATCAAGCATGTTGACAAACTTGACTGTGCAGTGTGTATATTTCAAGGATTAGAAGATAAGGTAAGAGCTTTGGGTCAGAGAAAAAGAGGGCTCATTTTTGTCGGTCTTCTGTGTATTGTTACCTGTTGCGGATGTAAAATAAGAGCCTGTACCCTTTTTACCTTTATTTTCCAGCAATAGTCTGAATTGGTAATAAGTATAATAAACTTTAGATAGAATATATTCTTTATATCATACTTATTTGGCCAAGTTTCATATAAGAGGTTTGTAATCCACAATTTCTTTCTGTCACTTTTTACCAATTTCATCTCTTTACATTGCTCTGTGTGTGCATAAGCGTGTGTGTGTGTGTGTGTGTGTGGGGGGTTACATCTGTGGGAAAGGGTGACGAAAGTCACAAAAAAACTAACAGCTGTAGGGTGGCGTCTTTCTCAATCTTCATGGTAATTGTTGCTGACATTTAAATTTTTTTCAGGTCGTTCCACCAGATCAGTCAAAAATGATGTACGATGCAGCTAAAGCGAAAGGAAATCCGGTGGCTTATAAAACATTTGAAGGTGACATAAAAAATGATTTAATTTGGTGAAGAAATTTTTTTATTGTGCAATTACATGGCAGGCTTTGCTTTGCAAAGGATTACATGCCTGATCATTTTAACTTCTCAGTGCAAATCAGACATTTGCATGGATGTGTCTAGGGAAGGGGATTCCCTGGGGGCTGAAATCCTCTTCTTAGCCCAGTAGCTCATTTTTATCATGAATTGAATTAAAGGCTTGCATTATGAATATTTTTTGTTTAGTAAAATCCAACTAGTGGTCTATTTTCAATGCTGCATTCTGATTGGTTGAGCTACTACTAAGTATAGCTAAATGTTATAGCCCACTAGTAGCAAAAAGTGCCAGCTTTGGAAACCAAAACAATGGCATCTGAATCGCGTTTTGCTAGATAAAGTTGTTTTGTCTCGATATTTTTGACCAACTAGTTGGATTTTACTAAAACAATATTATTCCTCTTGCCCTCATGGCCTCTGAGTCAATAGCCCATTCGGCCTCTGGGCTCAAGGAATAATATTATTGTTAAATAATACTCCTGTGGGAGTGAGCTACTGATTCTCCATGACCTATGGACCTTTATTGTACAGTGATCTACACTGTCCAATGAAGGTGTGCCTGAAATAATGCCCCAAGAGACTTCTAATAGGATGCCGGATCAAAATGGTGAAGAGTGAAATAAGGGAATGATTTCATGTGTGTTTTGTCTAAATTCTAGTTATTTCCAGAGCCTCTAGGTGAGGGAAATTATTAGAATAATTTGGACAAAATGCAAGCGAAATTATTCCCAATTTTCAAGAGTGTACCATTTGATTACTTAGTAATATCATAGGGGACAAATAATATTCCACTCACAATTACACTGATAAGGCTAGTCCTTAACTTTTGGCTTTAAGTTCACTATCATTTTCTAAATTTTTCCACAAAATACATTCTTGATGTGCTCTTTTGATTGTTCAAGTTTTTTAAAGCATCTTACCGTGACATCTTCATTCATAACATTTTAAAACCTTGACACTTTCGTGGCACTGAGACATACAGAATGTTGCCATTTTAATTTCACACGTTAAATTATTTATTGCCCCTGAAATTTGTGCCAAAATCAAGGAGTAATTTTTCCCCCATGATATTAAAGGGAGAATTTCATCTCACATCAGGAGTTACAAAACTCCCTCTTTTGACCATAAACACTAAGGTTTAGTTAGGTTTCTAGGGAAAGTCAACCCTGTTCCAGAGACCCCACCTACTCCCTAGATGAACTCTTTTATTCTAACAAAACAGAGCTGTTTGAGTCCTAAAATACTCCAAAACCTGAAGCTTAACGGGAGTAGGAACAGATCTACTGGAAAGGTTATCAAGCTCTCTTTTTACAGTTTGTTTTGAATCGAGTCTAAAACCATGCAGCTATGTAGGGAGGGGGGGGGTACTCTATAATGGCCTATAAAGGAAGGCTCCTCCTGAAATGGGTAACTTTTTTCAGATTACAAGTGTGGTTAGTATTTCTTCCGGCGGTGCCTGATTCTCCCTAGATATCATTTGTTAACTCCATTCCAGTGGTTTAAAAATGGGATGCAGAGTCTAGGGGATGTTAAAGGGGTGCCATATTTCTTTGTGGAAGGTATATGAAAGAGGTACCTTTCCAGAGGAAAATTGTACATAGGGAAAGGGGTTTGGCCTCAGGGTGGATCCTCACCGTATCAAACATTGTTAACTACCCCTTCTACCCCCCCCCCCCAAACACACCCCCCGAGCAGCTATGCCTTGTGTATTGAACTTTGATTTAAAAAAAAAAAACTATTTAAAACAATTCAATGAAGGCCTTTTATTTGAACAAATGCCTCTTTTTTAAAATTTATTTAAGGTGAACAACACGGGTTCCGGCAGGCAAAAAACATCAAGTTCTCATTGGAGGGAGAGTTGTATTTCTATTCCAAAGTGTTTAAATTTGATGCCCCAGGGATTAGTGCAGAAGTAATTGAAAATGTAAGTTATGCAAGAAACTGAAATGTACCTGTATGATGTCATTGTGTAGAGAAAAAGCACTTTATTTTTCATTTGTTGTCAATGTCAAAACTCAAGTAATGAAAGCACTGGAAAAGAATATTATCTTTAATGAATGCATTTTATAAGACTGCTATTGTTAACTTTGCGTGATGGTATTGTATTATTGATTCAATCAAATTATTCTCAGTAATTCCTTGTAAAACTTACTTAACAACTTTGTCTTTTCTTGTAAGAACAATAAGAAACTGAAACCTAAAGAATGCAAAGGATATTTGTTGATGAGGCCGTTGTTTATTTTCTTGAAACTCTTACATCTTTTTCTTTTTTCATCTTATAGCTGAAAATTGAGAACCTGCCAGAGGACTGAACAGATCCTGTTGTCATCAACTGCCTGTTGCACACAGCAGAATAGGGGAGGTTTTTTCCCTAAACAGACTTGGTAGTAGTTTTGTGAGTAGGTTAAAATAAAGTATTTCGATTAAGTTAGCCTTATTTGTGTTCTTGTGAAAGAGTGTATGCCTATTAAAGTTGTAGGTTACTGTGATCAGAATTAAAATAAGTAGATTGAAATGAACTATGTGCATTTCAAAAATATTTTGTAACAAAACACTGTTAATAAGTGTTTATCCATTGAACTTCAATAAAACTGATGAAAATATTACACAATGCTGAATATGCACTAAGTATCCTTAATGTTGTAGATTTTTGCTCCGAAAAACTTGTTTTGAAGCTATTTGAACCAATTTCTGACCACTTTCTGGCTAGAAAGAGCCAAAACTGCCCAAAACGCCACTACGTAGATTTTTGCATTTTTCTTTGGGCTCCTTTAGTGAATCGTGCTCTTTCTGGCATTGCTTTGAAAGATCCCTTTCTTCCCCTTGCACAAGACTGATGAAAAAGTTGTCTTTGACGTTTAAATTAGTGACTTGTTTGAGGGACATAGATCTGCATGGGCAGTTAAGGGGCAAATGGGTTAAGGCTTAAAAACTGCTTAAAATATCCCCTTTGCAAAGGGTATCAGATAGAAAGGCTGCTTTTACTTTACATACCTTTGCCTTGTTAGGCCAAGTTTGCCTTATGTCAATGGGGACAACTTTATTTTGCTTTAAATATAGAGCATAGTTCTTTTGAAAGAAGGCTTAGATACACATCAGAGTCCTTATATTTAATGTGCAAAATATTGTAAAGACTCTTGCTAGCACCTCTGACTACCTTTATAGATGTGCTTCATTGTCTGTTGGAGTCCAACTTTGTTACATCATTGACCCTGATCAAATGTCTGATCAAAGGTAACTTTTCATTACCCTCAAAAAACAGCTGGCATTCCACAATACCACCACTGGTTTCCCTACAAAATGATATCTGAGGAACTGTTGAATAAATTCCATACTGCTGACATGTCACTACCCAGAACTGAGTAGTGCTTCTGATTGTTCATGCAACATGGGAAATTTGCTTCTCTCAATCAGAAGCAATATCCAGATCAGGGAAGTGACATGTCATCACGCCTCATTGTCCAGAGAAACCAGTGGTAGGGTTGCAAAATGTTGGGTGTTTTCTCAGGCTTCTTTTCATCAAATGGAAGTTACAGGAGCACAGGCTGCAATACACAAACTATTTAACAATAATACTTTTCAATGGGAGTTGAAATCGTATAAATTTTCATATAGGTGTTCTTGTTGCCTCTCCTGTACGTAGACATCTTCACCAGAAAGTTCTTCAGGATACACATAATCTCCCTTTACTTCATTATCTTACATTATTATATGTCTAAAAAATTTATTTATCTCTGAATAATCTCAACCTCAAAAATAAGTTACTTCTAAAATCAGTCCTGATGTTTGGTACACTTTGCTATGGACACTTGCATTTAAAGTAATAGAGAGCAAATTTTGTTATAGAAACTTTCAAGAGGCAACGTCATGTTTAAAGTAAGTCAAAATACTTCTTCCTGGCTTGGGAACCTCTGCCACCTAAGATAAAAATAATGGTAAATGAAAAAATCAGTCAGAGTAAAGGGGTTTAGCACTATAGAAAATAATTTCAATGAGGTCTTTCACTGTCTGATACAAGGAGACTGGGGCTCATTAACCCTTCAAGCCCCAATATCCACAGACAAATTCTCCAGAGTTGCCTCCATATACTTCCTTAAAGAGTAAGTTTAGAGAATTTAAATAAAAGATCATAGCATGTTCCCAGAGGTAATCATTTTAATTCCCACAGCTTTTTTTCTTGATAATTATGTATTGATATTGTTGGGAAAAATAATTTATTGACGTTGGACACTGTTGGGACTTAAAGGGCTAAAATAGTTGTGGAGAGGTGGATATTTCTGAAAAGTTAACAGTTTGATCCCACAAAATATTTCACCCCTATACCAAGCTTAAATTGGGATGGTGGTAGTGGGAGGGAGCACAAGTTTTGAGTATCACGCCTTTTTTACTTGTAATTGACCCTTCTTTGATCCGAAAATGCTGTAGCTTATGGGCAAAAAGAGGGTGCATGCAACATTGCTCACCTGTGCAGTTGTAGCCTGTAAATTGTCTCTTTTTTCTTCATTTGCAAAATTGATAGTCTCATTGCTGTCTTTATATTCACCTCCCTGCAGGTCAATAGTTTTGCCTCTATTCTTTGCTTTGCAGTGGTCACTCCACTCTGTGAGCCAGTTTTTCTGTCTCTCACCTACAGAAACCTGATTTTTAACTTTCACAGTAACAGGTTTGTTACAATTTTTCCCTAAAGAAACACTTCTTTCCTCTTGTTTTGAACTCTCCATGGAGCCTTGATCAACAACATGGTTCTCTTTTCCTGGACTTGAATTTGGTTTGACCTTAATTTCTCGACTGTTGTGTGTTGTAGAATTTAAAGGATCACTAGAGCACCGTCTTTTCCTCAAAGGAGATGTTGCCAGGCATTTTTGTCCACTGATTTCTTTGTTTCCATGTTCTTGCAGTAGATTATGAGATACGAATGTTTTTTCCTTGTCTCCCAAATTTTCTTCTATCTTGTCAGACAAAGTTAATTCAGACTTAACACTGTTATTTGTGTCATCTGTTGTATCAACACTGTCACTGTGTCTCCTCTTCCTGGAATTTGTTCTTAACCAGGATGCCAGCAACTGTTTGGGACTTTGATACTTTATTACAGCTGGTGATTTTGGTGAAGATACTTGACTTGATAGAGACTCAGGGGATGGAGGTTGGGACAGTGATGAACTGACAAATGAGGGTCTAGTGGCTACTTTGGCATCATGCATTGCATGAGCTGTTAAACCTGTGGAAAATAAAAATTTATTATTAAACAAAGTGGGATTCTACAGATCAAAAACAACATCTTCAGCATGAATCTTGTTGAAATAACTTATCAGGATTATCCATTTTTTGTTTGCTATCCTTTTACTTTAGAGAGAAATGTTTAAACACCAAAATTTGAGCACGACATTTAGAACTTCCTCCCTTTCTGTTGCAGTCAAATCTGTATAATCATGGCTTTGGTTCCTGGCTGAAAATGTATCAGCCTGTGGCGGACAGTGATGAATCCCACCTTCAACTGCAAGCTAGAAAAGTAAAATAATGTCTCTCCTGTTAAGTGAGATGATCTTGCTGTTTTCATCTCATCATTATCAGCCAGACTTAGATCTACATGTATGTGATATTAATTTAAGTATTGGTACCTGTTTTCGAGTTTGGTGGACTCATGGTGGCCTTTGGAGACTGGGTGAGAAGGTTTTGTTTTTGAGGTGGTGTTCTGTTAGTGGGGCTGTTGAGTCTGGTTGCCATGCCAACAGGACTGGAAATCTGGTTTAATCGTGGATTGGTGATAAGTTTAGATGGTGGAGTCCACAAAAGACGTTTTGCATCAGGGCTTGTTGAGGGGGAAGAACTTGGGGTTCTGTCTTGAAATCTTGATGCACCTATTTTATCTACACAAAAATATAGATATTAGTTTAGGGACATGAAAATACTGTAGAATGGGAGAATAGTTGTGACTACTGAACGGCAAAAGAAAAAATTAAATTATTAAATTATTTTGCTTATATTTAAAGTGGAAATAGTGTACTTTTACTAAGCATGGGATGTGGCCATAAATTTTCATATCTAACACGATCTTTATTTTATTGTTTCATGTGTGTGAAAATTGAATCCAAAGCCAGCAGCATCTTTCTTCACAAATATACCTCTAGTTTATTTAAAACTTAAAAGCTGAATTTCAACTCACCATTTACAGGGGAGACAGATGTTTGCAATGCTAATTTGCAGCTTTCACCAATCAGGTTTAGTCTGTCATTCTTGCATGCTTGGTGGTTAATTCTCCTTTGAAAAATAAAGGTACAATAAAATTAATTATAGTACAAAGTCAAAATGTTTCACCCTGTAAATTGCCCCTGAACTGGTCACTGAGCTCAAGGCACAGCATGGCTGGAACTTTGCATCAGGCTAAAACGCTGCTACAGTAGTAAAGACACCCACTCTAAGGCCAAATTTAATGTTGCATTGATAATGGCATTTTGTATAACAAGACCCAGCAAAAGAGAGCAACTAAGAATGAGAGCTGAAAAAAAAACAAGTAGAAAAGAGATAACTTAAAAAGTTGCTTTGCATGCATCAATGAAACCAAAAAGGTGTACCTGAGCAAGGAAAGTTAATTTGCTTATTTTGAATAATGGCCAGATAAAAGCGAGACTGGCTAAGAATAATTAATTTTATGACTCAAGCCATCGTGTTAATGGATCACGCATGATGGAATGATTTTTTAACTACTTACCATATGCGGAAACTGTTATCATCAGAACAAGTCACCACCTAAAACAACAGAGAGAAGTGTTAATGTTTTTTTTTTGTTTTAACTTTTTCTATGTATGTAAATTTGAACCAGTTGTATCCACTATTTTAGTCTTGCCACTTAAAGCCTCCCTTTTTCCACTGATTAACTGACAAGTAGCAAATTTAGTTTTATCTCCCTCCACTTCTTGCAAGTCCTTAAATTGTGACCCTTGTGCAAGGCTGTGCTGCAAGAAATATTGATGGGAGCCAGGTGCTCTAAACATGTGTAATCCAGGGTTCCCAGTATGGGATTTCTATCACAAAGCTAAGATTTCCTAGTCACTCAAGAGCAAAATTAAGGCACCAGGGCAGAGCTGTCATTAAGAGGCATGGGCTGGGGATTTCCCCTGGCTACTGAGAATGTGGCTCCGGGCTACTTTCATAGCAAAGTAGAAGAAATCCCTGGCCGTTTGATTCCCTGGCTACTTGTTGCATTTCCCCGGCAACTTGAAATCTTAGTGACAGCCTTGCTTTTGGGAATCAGACATACCTTTCCCTGATCAGAGGGACACCAGGCAACACTTGTGACTTCACCAAGGTGTCCCTTGAGAACAATGGGTGGGGCTGTAGGGTCGGACACCTTCCAGATATAAGCATTATTATCACTGGATCCACTAAGAAGGTACATGTCATTGGGGCTAAGAGCTGATTTTACATAGAATGTGGAGTTCAGGTGACCAGAGAAGGTGCCAAGTGGTTCCTGCCCCAGTGATGTACAACTGTACATGTAGATTTGGTCATTAGTGCATCCAGCAAACAAACGTGAGTGGGTGGAGTCCAGAACGAGAGATGAAAAACCTGCAATGAAGAGCAATGATCAGCTGGCCAGAAAACTAAGGACATTATTATCACCTGTTCCATTCTACAGTGATTTGAAAGTGAAAGTCACAGATAAAATTGGAAAACAGACAAGTCGTGTCCACTTTACAAAACCTTGACAAAAAAGGCACCTCTGTGTGCTTGTTTGGTTGCATTCTTTACAGTACTACACTAAACTAATCTATGCAATTGACTATGCAACTGAATATCAGTTGTGAAAAAAAGCAGTAGCCTTGCAGGTCTTCAGAACCTCTAACTTAATTGGACATCTATGGGTTGCAGCTCTTTTGTTTTCAGGCTAGGTTCCATTGTCAACTTTGTTTGTTTACTGTTTTCCCAACGGGTTGCAAACCAATCTTGTGAGGTCTTCCGATAGCTGCAAGATCCCCCAAAAAAGGCTTGACTATTTGAGCCAAAGTTTAAAGAGTTTACCTATCATTTCAGTCAAATTATTATTACCTACCATGTTTTCTTACTCCTTGCCCTGGGTATGGAAAGATGTGAAAAGGCACAGGGTCATTTTTAAGGTTTGTATAGGTTTTGCGCAAGTCCCAGATTTTAATTTTACCATCCACCGCTCCAGCTGATATCAGCTTCTCGCCTCCTTGAAATAACACTGCTGTGACACTTTGTTGGCTAGAGTTCTGCAAGCAACGAATGTGCAAGTTGACACTGCAATTTAAGTATGGTACCTTACCATGCAGTTTTCCATGCAACTGTTGTTTTTATGTTACTGATTAGTACCATTATTCTCCTGCCTTTAGGAATTAGAAAACTCCAAGTGCCTCTTTATCTTATCGCCCAACCCCTACCCCCTCCTTTTATTGCATATTACATGACCTAATTCTACTCATTTGGATAGTCTTTCACATAGGTTGGCAAAGTCAACATAACTAAAATCATGCAGAAATTACCATATTTCTTGTTCATGCACCCTTTGAGAACATCTCTAACGAGTAGTGTGACTCAACTTAAGACAAGACTTGGATCATGAGGCATGACTAAAATTAGTAAGGATACATAAAATTATTTATTTACAAACCATGACAGGTCTTGAAGTAGATCTCCTAGATTTCTTTTTTGACATCTGACGGGTACCAGGTAGTCTTTCAAAATGTGCATTAGATATAACATTGATGGGTTGGTAAAAATGACCAGAGCGACGATTACATCTCATGTCCCATACCATCACATTCCCATCTCTTGCACCACTAGCAAAGACAACTGACAAGAACAGCAAAAGCCAGTAAGAAGATTAATAAGGATATTGCTGTCCAGCTATCCGATGAACATGCAGGTATTTCTGTGGAGATTGAGAACAAGATTTCCAAATCCCAGGCTGACTAAATCCTCCACTTTTACAAACCACACACCCAGGGAGGTACTCTGGATTTTAAGTGACCAGAATTAATAAGAAGAATTTTGGGGGTTTGAAATTTTCCATTCTAGGAGTTTTATAGGTAGGAAAATTTGGCAAGTACATTTGTGTGTGTGTGTGTGTGGCTTGATTTAAGTAGGAATTTTGCGGTATTCAAAACAATCTGAACATTCACATAGTGCTGCATATCCTGGCTGTGTAGTTGTGCTAATAACAAAAGTACATGTATATTCAAAGTTCTAAAATGCTATGATTTTAATAATTATCCAACTTATTCCAGTTATCCAATAGTGTGGAAATTGTCACTGTGTTTATTTAGCAAGGCTTCAAAATACAGATGGTATGATGAACTCAGACATTCAATTTTCCATTTTGTAATCAGTAATAAAATTGGTGATTACGAGTCTTCATAGCCAATAACATCATGGCTTAACTGACAGACGAATAACATTGTGACGTAATTGACCAATCAGATCAATAACCAGAGTATAATACCATTGACCAATCAGATCAAGGTTAAAACGTCAGTCACTGTATAATAGTCCATTCAACTGACAATCAAACTCAACCTACAACTCAAGGAGTTTTGAAACGAAACTGAGATGAAGAATGACAATACAACTCCAACACAGGTTGTCGAAATTAAACGTCAGTCACTGATTCGTAATGTACAATCTTATATAATAACAACAGTCCTATTCAGGGGACTATGACACAACAACAACAGTCCTATTCAGGACTACGTTCACCCGGACAATCAAACTCAACCTACTTTTGAAATTATTATTATTAATTAAAAATCTCAAGCTCCTGAATAAAAATCTTTTTGAATAATGAATTTGTTAACCACCAACATAGAAAAAACACTGACATCAATCCATGGTACTCACATATTTCATCTTCTCTGAAGTCCACAGATTTCACACTGCAGCTATGGCCTTTGAACACAGCTAAGCACTGATCACGATTAACATCCCACATTCTAATAGTCTGGTCCCCAGATGCTGTCACCTATAGAACAGATAATACTGTTGGTGTAATTTAAAGGAATCACCCTCAACTGTTATCACAGCGGCTGCAACCCAGGCACATTTGCTGGTGAGATATCACATCCTGCTGGGATGTCAGGAACACTGCAGCTCTAGTAGCCTCAGAAAACAGCCAAAATTTGGCAATGTTACCACTAGCTTCCCCATAAATGATGTCTGAGGAACAAGTGCAGAAATTCCTTACTGATGACATGTCACTACCCAGATCTGGGTAGTTCTTCCTGATTGGTTGAAGCAAATTTGCCTCTCAGAACATTTGCATCAATGCTAGCAAGCTCACTACATACGGATAACCAATAAAAATTAAAATCAAAGACTGGTATATATGTAAACACATTGGAGTTAAGGACTTGGATGTAGAAATGTCCCATTAAAAGGGCCACACTATTTTGGTGATAGTCTGTTTTTATCTATCTTACCAACATTTGTTCTCCCTCCATCCATGCAATATCAAACACTGCATTCTCATGGGCATTCCACTCTATGCAGAAACATGAAAAAATAAACAAATAAATAAAACATCCATTACTGCCATGTTTGCAACTGAAATCACAAGTTAAGGCATGAACAAATCCTGGATAAGATGGGATCAGATCAACCCCTTAACTTACTGAATAACAAAAGGTTTGGCATAGGATTAAAGGGATTGAATGGATCGTGTCTAATTATTTTATGACAGTGGCCCACAATTAGTTGAAATGGCAGATACACGACTGACATGTATCTTTAGTAAAATGCAACTAGTTGTCTATTATCAATGCTGCATTCTGATTGGTTGAGCTACTACTAGGCTATGTGTTATAGCCCACTAGTAGCGAAAAGCACCGGATTTTTGGCAGCAAAAAGGATTAAAGTCTTGCTCTAAGTTGTTTTGTCTCGATATTTTTGACCAACTAGTTGGATTTTTCTAAAGCAATTATTCCTCTCACCCTCGTGGCCTCTGAGTCAATAGCCTATTCGGCCTTCGGCCTTATGGGCTATTGACTCAAAGTCCATTCCGGCCACAGAGGAAACTAAACCTCTGGTTAAGTCCATCGGCAAAATAGTGCCAAAATCCTTGTTCCGGGCCCTCACATGTGTACCAGGATTTGAGTATGTTGCTCAAACTGTCAACACTGTACATGTACATTGGAGGAAAAGCAGGCTAATAGTTTTTATAAGAAACATGGTATGGCCAGCCCTGCGCAAAAATATTGGAACAAAAGCAACCCACTTGTGCATACTGAATCCCATACCCTCTCTATTGGTCAAAAACTATCTAGATAGTCTAGATAGTTTCATCAGTCCTATTCTAGCAATGGTCAATTCCTTTCTTTAGACTGGTCGATTTCCTGGCCCATGAATTAAAAAAAAAAAACAAGATTATAATTTTTAAACTATACACCTATATTTGTGGACCTGTTCATACGTCTGAAAGAAGATTGTTTAATAAACCCAAAGGAGTTTTCATCGCAGGAAGTATTATAGCGTATGTTTGATGAAATCTCAAGGCGGATAGTAGTAATAAGTTACAGAAATCTAGAAGAACCCAAGTGTGAGGGTATAAATTCAAAAAGTTTGGAAAAAGTCTGTTTGGAATTTAACAAAGCACATAAGTATTAATACCAAAACCTATATTTTAGCGTCTCTTACCCTTAATAATCGATCTTTTTCCTGTTTTCCGGGAATCCAGAATTTGAACCCAGCCGTCTTCATCCGCTATGGCTAACATATGACCACCTAGAGCGGCTTGAATGAATTAAACAAATGAACTAAGCATTTTTATAGTCTACAGAAATAAAGCAAAGCAAGGGCAAGTTCTTGGAAAATAATGGTGCCTTACTCTTGTTGAAGCGACAAGCAAACGGTGGAACATCGATCTGAAAGAGAGATGGTAGTTCTCTAAGTACAAGTGTAAGCTCATAAGCTTACATTTGTAGCTCGATCACATGCCAGCAATGAGCTATATTATTGCTGTATTTTGAGGGATTTCTCGAACGCCACGTAGATTTGTATGAGCTTACCTCTCTTCTTTCGACGAGATGTTCATCGTCTTTAATACAAGTGAAAGCCTCCAATGCAAAATCGACGGGCAAAGCTGAAAGAAGTCGTGAAAGAACTACAAAAGTTTACAAATTCGCGAAGTTGTGGACGAGTCAAGCTTGTGTATAAAGCTACACATAAGATTAAAAGGTGTTTGTTTACTCTACATTTCAGCACTCACCTCTACGCACAGGACTAGGAACAAGCTGACGCTGTAATATTGAGGTAAGAAGAGTCATTTTTGTTTCATTTCATGAAAATCGGAGTAAATTATAGAGCAACGCCACGGCCGTAAGATCGAAATCTTCACTTGAACTCCCGGGAAATAATTCAAAATGCGCGGGAAACATCAGATAGCCCGCCGAGCATGCTGGTGTTGAATTGTGGGATACGTGATTCAACATGGCGGCCACGTTGAGTTTTGGTGGGTTGATGAACTTTGGCGAGAAATCTTCCAGTAATTCGGCTGACAACTGGCAAGATGCAAATACTGCTTTAGCTGAACTTGATAAAGGTACGTTAACATGTAGAGGTAATTATTTTATCAGTGTTTTTGTACCTGCAATCGTTACTGTTTTCAATGCGCTTATTTACTCTTTCTGATCATTTGCTAGCCCTAGAGGTTGAACATAAAATTTGAACAGAATAATCATATCATTAAACAAGGACTCATTTTTTGACTTCAGGGCTGCGATCAAGTAAAACAGGAGAACAGTGTGAGGCAATTGTCCGGTTTCCAAGCTTGTTTGAGAAATATCCGTTTCCTATTTTGATCAACACTGCTCTATTGAAGCTTGCTGATGTCTTTCGAGTTGGGTAAGCTTTACTATAAAAGCTGTGGTCACTGTGGTCTTTAGAGGCTTAGCTTTAGAGGTGTACCCTGTTGTGTTTTAAGGTTTTTTACTGTCCCTAATGTAGGTTGCCTGGAACCCAACTTCACTTAACATTGTTAGCATGAACTGTGATCAACATTTAAATTCTCCTTAGTATGTCACTTTTTAATCAGTGAGGTAGGATACCAGGGGATCCTGGGAGGATAGGCTGGGATGGGTACAGGAGGTGAAAAAAGAAAGAGTGGGAGTTCTAAAAATGCAGCAAGCAGTAAAAATGGAGGAAATTACACAGCAATCCACAATATTTGCAATCAAATTGAAGGGTTGAAGGGAGGAAGGCAAGAAAAAGGTTTGGGAGCCTGGAATGCAAGGTATGGGAGGTCGGAAGTTTGGATTTAATCCTCCCTCCCCCTCCCTCGCTCGATTTTGAAGCTGCTGCCCCCAATTTTCTGTAAAATACTCCTGTAGTCAATATTTTTTAGCTGGGATCATTTCTTGATCGTCAAAATAGGCAGAACAAACCAAGGGACCTTGATGTCACATATAGATAATGCCACTGCAACTACCAACCCAATTTATACATATAAAGCCAACTGGTGTTTCTGTCTCACTTTGCAATCCACACATGTTCACATGTTCAAAAGGCGATGCAAATTTTGACAAAATTATAAACTCGCTTCACAAGGAATAATATGTTCTGACACAGACTTAATAGTTATCTATATCTTTATTCAAAGCTCTACACAGAATCACTCAGCTGCAAGTAACATAGTGAAACCGCTTCTTGAATTATTATTTTCCACTTTTATTTCCCTTCTTTGTTTTATTAATTATCAGATTTTAACAGAAAAAAACCAGGAAAACAAAATAAACACCGAGCTACAGGAGTCTTGATTGATTATTCAATGATGAATCAGAAATTTCAAGAATGACTATCAAAAGTTATTAATTTTTGTTTTTTCATTTTTTAGGAGTAACTTTCTCCGACTATGCATTTTGAAGGTCACTCAACAAAGTGAGAAACACTTGGACAAGATTTTGAATGTTGATGAATTCTTGAAACGCATTTACTCTGTTATTTACTCAAATGACCCAGTCGCAAGAGCAATCACTGTCAGGTATTGTAAATAATTGATAATCTTATTTATAACAATAATATTTTATTATTTATTTATTTATTATGTAGAACACAATTTGTAAAGTGGTATTTATTGTTTATTGTTTATTGTTTTGTTTGCCAAAAATTATACAAATCAAATAAAATCTAATTACCTTAACTCTCATGGCGAGGAAGCCCAAGAGAAGCCACCGGGCTTATAAGGAATGGGCTCCCTCAGTTAGATAATTGGAACAAAATATTACATGGTACATGTATGGATCTATTGAAACGTGTTGTTTTATGTAATTTAGAGTTTTTGTCAAGTGTTTTATTTGACAACTTGAAGACTGTAGGAAAAAATGTTTAATACAACAAATATTTGTATTCTAAAAAACCTTCTTCACTATTTGTGAAATCCCAGCAAGTATGATTTTGGTTGTTATGCAGAAGACAAAATTAATTTCTCCAAGTGCTGTTAATGGGCATGTTTCATAAATTGATAACTATCTACAGTGTTTCCTTTAATTTTTGTTAATTTTTCTATGTCCTTTATTTTTTATTTTTGTGGTTTTACTACAGCATATACTGATAGTACCTTTTGTGTTGTTGATTAATAATAAATGAAATATTTACATTCTTTAAATTTTTTTTCTTACTTTCAGAGTTCTTGGTAGCATTGCCTGCATTGTGTCAGAGAGGAAAAATGTCCACCATAGGTTGTTAATTTTCTGCAGTCAGTAGCCATTGTCTTTTTTATAGAGTTATTGATTGACTGATTGATTGATTAATTTTGCATAACAGTAATTTTGTCTGGATTTCATTGCAGAGATATCTTTAAAAGATTAAAACAATTCTTCAAGAGCAAAGATGTCTAAAAATTTGACCCCAATTTTGGCATTAAAATATTATTATGTTGTTGAACAGTTATTCATCTAAATTGTCATATGGTTAGTGTGGTTGTGGTCAACAAAACAGCTAAACACAAACTTTGTCTGGTACCATGTGAACTTAGCATTGATTTCCTTTGTCTCGTAGGGCAAGAGTTCAAGGAAATTGAGAATCAACCTAGGTTAAATCAAAATTAACCTGAAAATCAAATTTGACCTGCAACATATCCAATTCATACATCTTTTTTCTTTGACAAAATTTCTTAAGTCAATGTTGTTTGCCAATTTAAGTGATAGTGTCTCATTTTGAAACGCAAATTTCAGTACTTTTTGTCAGCTACAAAATTACTTGTCCTTAATTTAATTATATTTATATTTCTATAACAGCATCAGAAGCAGTTTGGACTCACATGATGAAGTGGAATTAGAGGCAGCTATTTTTGCCACTGACAGATTTTGTTCTCATTCAAGGTATACTCTTTGAGAAATCTTCAGAACCCATGAAATTAACTTCTGCCTGCTTCATCTTTAGTACTTGTCAATCAAGCTCTAAACCCCTGAATTCTGAAAACTTATTTAGGTGGGTCTAACAAAGTATTGAATTGCATTGTAAATTATAAATGTACAGTGTATCTGAAAGCCACATTAAATACACACTTTGAAATTTTCTTGACCCACTTTTGTGCAGCATATTTTCTTGGATTTGTTCTTTGGTTGCAGTGTTCTTACCAGACCTAGGCATTGCGGCATTGTCGCACTTTTTCAGGAAATGCCGCACTATAATTAGCCTAAAGGGTCCCAAGGTAGCAAGGAAGGAAAAAACATATTACAAAACTTATGCAAGCATATGACATATAGATACATTTCTTTATAATGCAAGCCCAAATTTAATTCAATTGGTTATGGCATCTTTAGAAAACACGCATCATTATCTAAGACTCAGAATGTGAAAACGTTGAGTTAACTGTATCTGTATCTCCAGAGATTCCAACCCCATGTGATGGAAAATAGGGAGTAATTATTAGCGCCGAAGGCGCAAGCTTCTAGGGGGGTCCGGGGGCATGCCCCCCCCCCCGGGAAATTTTGCAAATTCAGGGTTCTCAATAGATTTTTAAGTAGGAGGTGATCACTGATAAAGTAGGAGGCTCTTCAGCAAAGCCAGAGGTGTCAAAACAAAGCAAAGAAAAGCGACTTAAACACAAAGTAAGCGGCTATAAATCCCAAAGTAAGCGGCGATCAATCGCCGGGTGCCGCCTTCTATTG